AAAGGAATTTGCTTTGTCTAAGTCATTTAATAGCTTTTAAATCCCAGTGGATTACAAATTTGCAGGGTACAATATGCTGGCTGTATCTCGATCTCCAGGACTTAAACGTGCTTTGAATTGCTTCTTAATAACTATGAATAGAACTGTTAGTTAAAGCCAAAGCAGTGAGAACAAGTGGTATCACAATAAGAAAAGATGGATGAGGGTTAAATAAAATGTGGATTGTGGAAACTATTAAAATTTGCAAGTTAAGTTTTTCAGTAGCTTTAATACAGTCACTTACGGATTGCATCACTTCCTTAAGTAGCATTCCTGTAACCATGTTTAGTCCTAGGAAAATAAGCTGGTTTGGAAGGCACCAGGCTATGAAGCTACATGTTGAGAGACGGCTGCAATGTACTGCAGCAACACTTTCCATGAGGCACAAGACAACTGGCATAAGGGGATAGCACCATTTCATGACCTGGTGCACGGGTGAAACAGAAAGCTCTGAGAAACTGCAGTTTAGATAAAAGATCTAAACCTCTTATTCTAGATATAGAAGATAATCTAAACTATCTAGATACAGATAGTCTAAATAAAGAATCCATGCACAGTAGAGTGCTTCAGCAGAACTTGCTATCTCATGAATGGAGGCTTTGTAGGTAATTCCAAGTTTATCCTTCAGAATGCTACAATGTCAATGACAAACCCCAATACTACTGGAAAGAATCTTAAATAACCTACAGATATAAAAAGGCAGCCCATAAAACCAGTGACTGTCATCAAACTATTTATTGAAAACATCTTGACTCAGCAGTGGTAGCACCTTTTCCTTGTTTATGTCATAGCAACATTGGCTGCTGAAGTGTCTTCATAAAATGAACAAGATTGAGAAGAGAGTTTGTCTCTCAGCAAATTCAGTGCCGTAAAAATGTCAGTTTTCAAGATAAACTATTTAAATTATTTGAAAACTTTGGGAACTTTGGATAAAACTTATGTTTTGTGTCTATCAGTGCGGCATCCAGTGACTTGAATCAGCTGTTGTAGAGGCGAAGTAGAGGACCACAGTGAGATTAGAGGTGGACAAAATTCTAATTTGCTTTTTTATATATATATATATGTATATATGCATATATGAGCTAAGCAGTGCCAGGTTCCATTTCTTCTTAAGAAACTGAGAAGTAGCTTTCTTCACAATAGGAATCAGATTTCTATTTTAAGACTGCTCGACTGATGGGGTTGTTGCTATTAAACTCTTAATTAAATGAAAAATGGGGAAAACTCGTTTACTTCAATGGTACCAGGTCAGAACGTTCACCATAAATGTCTAAAAGAAGAGATGGAAATGGCTGAGGTTTTTCTTCAAATTCCTCTTTGAGTTTAGCTTGGAACAATTCTACAAACTGCAGTAGCATCTGCGGATAAGCACATGTCCATCACTGAAGCTTAAATCATGAAAGGCTCATTCATTTACTGATTCAGCTTTCTAATATTTATTACCAAATGCCATGTGCATTTACCCTTGAGTGCTTTCAGCTGTTTTTCCTGTATTACCATGACATTGTTCTTTCCGAAGATGCTTGTTTTAATTTTTAGTATTTTGCAAGTGACTTAATGTGGTGCTAAGCCTTTTTAGATACATATCACTAGAACAAGATACTGCTTGAGGCAGACAAATTAGTCTTATAAACTAGATCCTAACCGTATAATGATCCAAACCAAATACCATCCTAAGATTCCATCATGTTGAGCCCTGAGGGTAGAGGTGCCTAGTATCTCTGTTGTGATGCTTGATACACTCTGGTTTCAGGTCTCCCATGAGCTCAGTAAAGCTAGTTACCTTAAAATGAGGAAAGTTTTACCTTCCTGAATGTCTGCTTTTCAAGCTAACATCCCTTTATTAAAATAGATGTATTTGCAGAGATGCTTCAGCTGCAGCCATACTTATCTTCATCTGCACACAGAATGACTTTCTTATGCCTCTACCTGCAACTCATCCTCTGCAGGCCAACAGGATCCCTGCCCAGAACCACTTCCAATACTGTCTTCTCTCTCCTTTCTCTGGATATCTAGAATTAGGGATTTCACTGCAGAGCTCCCCATATCCATAGCACTTCTTGCTTCTTCCTTTCAATTAGAAAGGAGAAGTCGACAAAACTAAAGTTTAGCAAGCTGTTCCTTGTCACTGTAGGAGCTCTGAGAAAAGAGCCCAACAAGCTGCACATAAATTCTTCACATAAATTGAGCCAAACCCAACAATCAAAATGTTATTCTTTAAGAGAAATTTGCATTTTTAAGAAAAGACCGTTTTTGAAAATTCAATCCATATCGTCTTAAGGTATGAAATCTGTCTAGAATTTACAAGACTCAGTTCCAGGGCAAGTTTTTGCCTTCATCTACTGGCCTTTCTTATTCTGTTTCTGAGAGATCACAAATTAAATAGTCTAAAGAAACAGGCAAGAAAAAAGAAGGCCAAAGGAAATTTCATATTGACAATGGGGATTTAGGATGTATTTTATTTTTCAAATTATTTACATTAAATGTTTTTAAAACTATGGTAATTTGAAATAGCAAAAGAAGGGGAATTCCAGATATCTGACAATTTTAAGTAGCTGAAGTCTAACTTACCAAAATGTATGGCCTTATTATATACCTAGAGTTAAATACCTGGTGAAATACCCAATAAATACAAACTTGCTTTATATATCTTAACAGACACTGAAAAGCAAGGAGAATTTGTCAGAAGGCTGAGAAGTAATGGATATTTGAAAACAGCCTAATTTTAACTACTAAATTTTATAGTAGCCCATGTTTTGATTTCATTCATGCAAAAGGTAATGTGTATATGACCTCTGTAGATCAATGGAGTTAGTTCTGCTTTTCATCTCTGCAAGTAAAAGCAGACTTGGTTATTCTCCATGGAGAGAGAAATGCTCATGGTTGCTTTTGTGACCATTTTTGCCTTGCAAACCTAAGCGTCTGCATTTGTGTGTTTCATGAAGTTGTGGTAGTTTTCTGAAAATTATATAATACAGTTTAAAAATAAAACCCTTGGTAAGGCAGGCCATATCTGCAGGGTCTGAATATGAAACTTCTGCGCTTGAATTGTTGTAAACTTTCAAAATCCATTCTAATTGTCCGTGTTTTCAAAAGGCATTCTGTTTCTTGCTGTAGTTACAAGTAGGAGCAGATGCAATTTTGCTGGTATCCTTGCTGTATAAAGTCTCTCTTCAGCTACTTCATCCTGAAGAGTGTTCTCACAACTTCCTGCCTGTGAGAAATGCATGTTACTTGTCCCTGGCATAGATAGTCTGTATAAGAAATGTTTATCATGGCATGAATTCAAGTAGTAAAAGTTTTTGCTTCTGTGCTTGGTATTGCCTACATTTTACTGTCACACAGCTTCCTTTATACTATATCAATCTTTCTTTTCAGGAAGCATGTGTAACAGATAAGCCCCAACATAAAATTATGTGCTCATAAAATGTTAAGTGTAGTAATAAATAGTAGACAAATTTTGCCTTTATGCATAGATCTTTTTTTGGGACGCATTTATGAGCAGAATCTAGCACAATATTGCTTCTTATCAAGCAATTCTTTGCATCTTCATGAACATCTAGGATAAGAATTTTGAACTCAGCAACACATGTGAAATGAATGGAGTTGGACATGCAAATTTGTAAGGCAGCAGTGAAACTCTCAGATGCAGTGTTTACTCAGATGGCTTAGCAGTTGTTTTGGAAAATGCCGTGTTGATAAGTATTGTTTTTTACTTACTATTACAGACGTTTACAGCCTGGTGCAATTCCCACCTCAGAAAAGCAGGCACACAGATTGAGAACATTGAGGAGGACTTCAGAAACGGCCTCAAACTGATGCTGCTCTTGGAAGTTATCTCAGGTTGGCTAAAATAAAATTTGCTATGTATTTACAGCATGCTAACTGAAACACTTAAAAGGACAAAAATTGTTAACCATTCAAAACAGTGAACACAAACTCTAAGTAGGCTGAAAAGTGAGAGATGAAACACACTGTAAAACAAAATGGAGTTAAAAAAGCTCTGCTTTTTCCTTATCTCCAAAATCTTCTGTTTTGTGCTTGTATTCCAGGATATCAGTGTGTATCAGGGTATCACTGACATCACAGTGTTGTTGGACAAACCACAAACATTGAAGACCTGGTCTTAGCCCCTAACAATTAAAAAGCCTTTACACTTAGGTTACAAGTTCATTTTATTCCACTTTTAGTATAGAAGTTTTGCTTTGCTTTTAATGACTTTATTGGATGGACCAATGCTTTCAAACATGAGTGCCTAAAGTAAAACTAGATCAATATTTAGTCACAAATAAAAGGTCTCATTTTTCAGAAGGGTGGAACATCCAAGAACTCCTTTTGACTAACTGATGTAAACACACTATGTAACCCGTGTTTATGTGTTATTCAGAGGGGCAGTCCTCAAGGTACACTCAGAATGCCCCTGAATGGGAAGGGAATAGCTCAAGTTACAGACACACAATGAAAGTGAAAAAAGGCAAGAAGATTTTTAAGATGTCTTTGTGGAAGAGACAGTTTACATTTTTGCTGGAGATTTCAGTGCAGAAAGAAGATCTTCAAATGATCACTCGTCATGAAATGGAGAGTCATATTTTCAGAAATTATTCTTCTTTGTGATAATTTGAAAAGATAAGTTCATTCAAACACATGAGCCTATGTTCTGAAATTAGCTGCTCTGCTGTACTGGTTGTTAAAAGCCATTGTTCTTGGTCAGATGTGGAAGGATGCTATGGCTAATCTACTGGATAGAGTCCAGCCTCTCTTTACAGTCAGACAGTTAAGGGTGATGAGCTCTGAGAACATCCTGCTTTCTTAATATTCAGCTACTCTAACACAGTAGCAATGAACCAGAAGTTGAGTAGCAGGAAGCACTCACATATCTTCCAGATGTTTAGGGCAAACGTAAAAATTTTACTCTGGTTTTACTGCTATATCAGAAAGATCTAAGTCAGATGTTTCAGCATTTGAATTTTCTCTTCAGGGTTTTGTTCAAAGCCATTTGACATTCTTTCAGAAAAATACCTGTTAAAATAACTGCTAACTTTTAGACAGTGTTCAGGGCACTTTCACTCTTGAGTTCTAATCACTTGGGTGTCTGTAGCCAGGTGTATGTAACAGTAAACACATTAAATTTGTTATTCTGCAGGGGAAAGACTACCGAAACCAGACAGAGGGAAGATGCGCTTCCATAAAATTGCTAATGTCAACAAAGCTCTGGATTATATCGCCAGCAAAGGAGTGAAACTTGTGTCAATTGGTGCAGAAGGTATGTGACAGAGCTTGACAATGCACCTTATTTAGGTATTCACATTGCAAAGAAGTCTGACAGAGACCCTTGGCCAAATTGCGCAGGCTGTTCTCTACATATGGGTGCCTCAAAAATCCCTTAACATTGATTGCTGACCTATATCTGTGAAAAGACGAGAGGTGGAAATTTGTGGACACCTGGAGAGGGATGGGGTATAAATGGGCTCTAAGATTAGTTTTTCTCCAAGGTTAAATTGAATTGTCTGTGTTTCAGTGGATGTTCAGATAATGATTTCTTCTTTCAGAGCATTACGTTTTTCCTATACATTATTAAAAATGAGGAACTCCTTTAGAAATCAGGTTGGATTCTAGGGTGTGCTTTATCCAGTCTGGGATCTTTTTTTATCTTTAGGAGATATTATTCAGACGAGACAAAGGCTGACATCACTACCAGGTGGCTGGGACCTACTCCCATTTTATTATGAGATTGGCTGTGGATGGCAGCTGTGTTTCTAGAATTCAGATGTAGAGTTAAGGGAGTGATCAAAAGAAATTATGGTAGCTGGGGAGAGACTGAACATATGAAGAAAGTGGGACGGGATGTTATTTACTAAAGTTATTACTTTGTTATTGTTCTGTTGTTCAGGTAATAAATAAAAACATGCAGTTGGCTAGCTAAATGCTGATAGATGTAAACTCTGAGCAAAAGAAGGCAGGCTTTCACTACAAATGAACCTATGCCTCCTATGAGATTCAATTGTTTAAAAAGCACAAAGGTCTGTCTGGGACTAGCTGCTCCATGGAGATATTTGCATAATGCTTTGCATAGCCATTACCATACAAAGGAGTGATGTGGCTAGCATGATATCCAACTACTTTTGATTCCATAGCCTCAATGTTGTGCTGTCCATTCTGGGGGCATCCTCTAACACGTCCTTAGAGAAAAACTCTGGCTGTAGCCTCAGTATCACGGTGAGAAACACTAGCCATATTATATTCACATTGCTAGGCCTTTTTAGATCGATTTATGAGCCTTCTCTTCCTGTTTTCTGATTTCTCCAGGCTTTTATATATGTCCTTATTCTGGCTTCCAAATCTTTATCTCAGGGAGCTTTCTGTAATTGTGGCTGGAGCAGGAAGATTCATTAGGTGGGATAGGGGCATCTGTACAAGTAATGGAGAGATCTATCAGCATTCATTGATTCCGGTTTGACCTAGCCCGGTTGGTTCCTCCAGTATCGTTCACCAAATGTGTTCAGTTTCTAGATCTAGAACTCCAAAATTCCAAGAAATGCGTGTTCTCTGGGCAGAGCATTTGTTTGAACTCACCCTTTATTCGTTTGAGACTGAACTGGGTGGGCCATCTGAGTCCAAATCCATACCATCTATCTTTAGCCACATAACAGAGAGCTTTTTTGGGGAATATATCATCAGTGGGGAGAAACCGGCAATTCCCAAAGGCACTTCAGATCTCAGAGGAACTCTACTGCATTTCAGAGGTGCCTGGCTCCCTGCATCAGTTGTACAGGCAGTCAGGGGCAGCTGGGCCCTTTGCTCAATTAAATGAAGTGGGATGGAAAAATATGCCACTACCCTAAACCTCTGCAGTTATGGTTATTCTGAGAGCGACATGGCATTGAACGGACAGCAGAGGGTACTGAAGAGACAATTAATGTGTGGAAATGAAAATTAAGAATACAGAAGCCTGTTTGCTAGCTGGTGCAGAAATACGGAGAGTACAGAGTGTGGAGCAAATGAATGGTAGTTTCTGTCATGTTGTGCTGGGACTCTGAGGCTTCCTGACTGAAAACAAGAGTGTAGCAAAAGGAGTATCTTGTGGGACAGAGTGGTGGTTCTCTCTGATTGCAGTTTGCACAATGTACTAGTGTTTTCACACCTAGGTTCTTCAAGCAAGGCTGGAGTATTTAAACCGAGATACATCAGCTCATATCTGCTCCTGAAAGGAGCAGGCCGGCCCTCTGCACTCCCATCTCCCTCATTTTGCCCTGCTTATTGGTGCTCAGTCTATGGAGCAGCCCTTGAGCACTTTCTATATCACCTGAAGGCAAAGCATCAGATCAGCCATTAAAACCATTTAACCTAACCCTGCTGTTCTCCTTGGCAGCAACTGGCATGAGCTTAGATGCTCTGTGATAATAGGTAATTCCCTCTGGGAGGGAAGCGGGAACAAGAGGCAGTAACCTCTTCCAGCTTCTCAGCCAGTTGCTGCACTCAGTATTTCTTCCTGCATGTAACAGCCGGCCATAGTTAGTAAGCCAGGAGGTTAAGGTGATGTTCTTGGCTGTGCTGCAGGCTTTTACTGCCTGTTTCTGGAATTCTTGATCTGTAAAATTGAGGGATTAGAAGCAAAAATTCATTCATTAGCATTAAAAAAAAGTTTTAAATTCTTGGATGGAAGCACAGGAGAAAAATCCACTGCTACTGTCATAGCTTAGATGCAGAGAGGAACCTGTCATTGTAAGACATCGCACTATGTCAAGTATGGCTACTAACACACATTAGATTACATCCATGTGGGCAGGAGCAGATAGATTCGTGTGCCTTCCACTCCTACTCTAAACAGGCTGAACACAAAGCCAGCTCTGGCCCAGGTGTGCTTAGTGCCCTGTTAAGGCACATCCCCTCTATACTAAATTTGTTATCTAAAGGACAGTGCTGTGCTGATGCAGCAATGCAGTATCACATCTGACTGGATACAGTTTCACAGTGTTGGGACCTCTAGCACCAGTGTTTAAAGAGTCCCTGTGCCCCCTTGTCCTGCATACTTGCTCCCACACTTCACAGCCCTACCCTATCACTTGGGCTGACAACTGTTTCTGTAGCTATGCTGGAGACTGGATCAGCAATCTGATCTGGTTTCAAAACACACTTCACCTCTCTTTTTTTTCTTTTGTTGCATTTTTCAGCATTGTTGACTGGGCAGTCATTATAGTATGAAGATGGAATGAATGCTAGCAAGGAGGCAGAGCACAGGCTCCTTAAGCTTGTATTGTTATCAAAGTCCTTAACCCCTTAACTCACTGCCCCTATGTGTGAGCATGGGGCATATGGGCTTGTCTGCACCCATCTGTTTCGGCATTCTCTGAGTTACATGGATGGTTGGAATGCTTTTTAATTTCCAAAGCATGAAAATTTTGTATCTAAATCTGCTGAGGATCATGTTTTATTATCTGACATGCTGAGTGGTGAAGAGCGTGTAGGCCCAAGGGGACCAACTGGCATTTAAAATGGGGCCTCAAAAAAAAGATTAAACTGCAATTCCTGTGGGACATCTGTACAAAGTTCAATTTAGTATTTTTAAGGAGCCAGGGGTATTCTTTAAAGCCACCATTACTGTTCTGCGGCTGACTTCCTTGGGCTGTCTGTGGAGTGGAAAGAGAGAGGTGATCACTTTTAACTGTGATGCTGAGCAGAAGTCCAATTTAGGTACTCTGATCTGTCTTGTGGAAGAGTCTTTCTCTCCATTGGTGATGAAATGAGACTAGAGAGTCAAGAAGCTAAAGCAAAAGCTGTGCAAGTAGTCCTTATCAGCCATTCACAGTCCAGGAGTTAGAAGTTTTCCCTTAAGTTTTAAAAAAGTGCAATAACTCCATTTGCAAGGTAATTGGATCCTGAATGAAATGAACTGAGATATGGAGAACCACAAAAAAGAAGTATCCTGTTAATAGGAAACACGTCTGTATTGCTTTTCTGGGGAGCGGAAGAAATATTAAAGACCAAATGATCTGTGAATCTGCTACAAGAAGGTTAGAATAAAAAAAAATTAATAAAGCCAAAGCAGAATAAAAAACTGAAACTAATGCCTTTGAGAACTTGCCACACTGCTTTGCTTAGCTTTTTCCCTAGGCAGTTTTTATTGTTTCCCCTTCCCTTTCCCTTCTCTCCTTTCCTGTCCTTATAGGTCAGCAAGACCTTTTTCCCCAGAAAGCTGTAGCTTTACATATGTGAGGTGTAGGAACTATATTCCTCCCAGAGCAAGCAGGCAGTGTGAAGAAAATAATGAAGTCTTCTATTGACCTGTAGAGGAAAATGATAGGAATGAATCAGTATTTTTTCGTCACTGATACTTTTCAACATTTAGCGACTTTGTTTTCCTTTTGTTTAGATATTTTTCCTTGTCTTTTATACATGTCTTTTTTGTGTTTTATGCTAGCAGTAGATAATGAGAAACCAAAGCTGGCAAATAGCTTGAAAATTCTCCTGAGGCACAACATAGAAAATTCCCTCTCTTGCTCTTTCATTCTGTCTGTGTGTACATACGGATATGTAAATCAAAACAACAATTTAGTGATTATGCAAATCCATGAATTGATGGCCTGACAATTCGCAATGCCTCCTGAGTATTTAAATTCATTTATTTTACATTTGAAGAAATTCATCTTTACTGTATATACATATCAGACATCTGATCAAAATACAATGAAATATTTGACTGAGGAGGAGGGAGGAGAGAGAAGTAGCTACATGCCCTAATTGCCATTTGGTCTTTTTTGGCTGAAAGAGTTTAGTTTTGAGATTTGAAGACACTTGAGCTCTTTCAGGGCCAATAAGATAGTAATAATGCATGGAAGGCAGACAAAATGAGGTAAGAATTCTGGAAAATTAGTGTAGGACCCAAAGGGGAAAGCGGAAAAATAGCCATTCATATATAAACTTGGATTATTACACTAGCAAAGTAAGTATAGACTAGTGATGGGTGACATATCTCCTACCACATTTGTTACTTTGATAGGTTCAGATGACAGCTTGTGTCACATACTGCTGCAATTTAACATGTATCTCAAGTCTTGGAGCTAGCAGCTGCTTTGTTCTGTAAAAGTTGCCCCTGGATTTAGGCAACTTTTAAGTAGCAGAGCGACTGCATTTTCTGCTGGCACCTCTATTGGCATTTGACGTTAAATTGAGGAAATTCCTCCTGCTCCTTCCCCAGAATACCAGTGGGCCCCCAGGCAGCTACAGCTGCTCCACTTTTTGAGGATGGCTGGAGGTGACTTTCAAGTAGGGGAGCAGCTGGTGCCTTCCCTGCTCCACTGCTCTTTTGGTGTGAGGTGACTGGAAAGGCAGTCTGCAGTTCCCTTCTCTCATTGTCCCACCTCCTCCCCTTCCAGTGCTGGACCCTCCTTATAGTCTCACTATGTTCTTCTGAGTCTCTTGCCATACTTTTCAGATTGATTTAACATTATCACCACACTTAAGTGGTCTGGCAGTACATTTTTTGGTGTTGAGAAATTTAAGTGGTATCACTGTTCATATTACAATGTAGGAGGACTGGATTCTGACTTGGCTTGTGGAAGGGACTCCCATGTATGTGTGAGAAGGGTTGGAGAAAGCACCTTCCTAATGCCCTGTGTTGTAGGTAGACTCAAGCAGTCTTGAAACAAATTGAGAGCCCAAAGGTAAAAAATCCCATTTTATATTAAAGATACATAAATGTGCATAGGCATCAGAGCTGTAAGACATTACAACCTCGTGGCCATGTTTCTGAACTGCTTAGCAGGAAGCTATGTAGCTTAGTCTCAGGAGGTGCTGTGTCTCTTGAGCTGTTCTTCGTATCTAGTCTGTGCTGGCACTACAGGTAAAATTCTCAAAAAGGTCTAAATAGTATAGGGAAATTTCTGAGTACCATTTTATTAAAAAATAATATTGTTCATGTCCTGTGGCTTCTTAAAAATTTGGGGTAAGACCATGTTTTTTTCAGTTCTTTGTATTTTAAAACAGAAAGGCTGATATTGTTCAAACTTTAAATTTCAAACTTTAAATAAGTATTTCCCCTCAGGCTGTTCTCTGAAAAAGTCAGCCTAAAAGATAAAGATCTGAGGCAGTTACAACTACCTGGAGTGAAACCTTTTAGCATGGAAGGGTTGAAGTGACCTTAACCTCAGTAATCTTCAGTCCTACTACCAGGGTAGCACAAGCATGAGTTTGTTGAAAAATGAACCCAGGAGAACTCTGTGTTGATAAAGAATTATGGTAGAAATATAACAAATTTATTAGATACAATATATTATTTATAGAAATATATGATTAAAATAAGAGAAAATGGAAAACACATTCTAAATACTACTACTATCTCTTTTTTCACCTTAGAAATTGTTGACGGCAATGTGAAAATGACACTGGGTATGATCTGGACTATCATCCTTCGCTTTGCTATTCAGGATATTTCAGTGGAAGGTAATAGTAATGCAACTATGTTAAATAATTAGGAAATTTGTTTAAAGACATTTTTATATGAATTGTGCACAAGTGAGATGAGTGTTCTAAAAATGAATTATTTTTTCGCAGAAAATGATACTGCAAGTTCCCTACCTGGTGAAAAAAAAAAATTCTGGAGAGAAAAAGTAATTACTCTCCTTATCCTGACAGAGAAAGCCAACTTTCTAAATGCAGAAGTTCTGGGCGTGTCCCTTAGTTACAGGGATAGAAACATGCCTGTGTTTCTGAGCTTCAGTGGCCTGAAACTATGCTGTACCCTGCATGGTAGTCCTATTTCCAACATACTTTTTTTAGTCCTCTCCATTTCTCACATTCTTTGCAAATATTATCTGATTATATCCCTCTTCTTTCTATCGCTTTTTCTCCCCCCAGTGCTTCAGAATTTTTTTTCGTAACTTTCACTTGGTAACTGGCTCCAGAAAGTGTGTTGTAGTTACAATACTCTTTAAATCAAGTCTATGCTATGAAAAGTCTAGAATTCTAGAAACTAATCTCAATTTTCAACAGAAGTAAAGTCAATTCAAGCTCTGTATGCTGTCCTGCCCATAATTTGTGGGACATTAAATGTGGACCTAATGGTCTATTTGAATCTTTTCTGTCCTTTACTTATGCATTCAGATGCCCATAGGGTTCAGACAATGAAGGTGTTTCTTCAGCACTTACACCTCCCTGTAAGCAAATGGACTGAGGCTACAAGCGTATTTCATGTAGGCACCAACACGATCTTTTATGTCTAGTTCTATTATATTTGTATTGTGTGTTTTTCTCCATATATAATTCTGCTATCCAACCAATATAATTTCTTAAACTTCTAATATCGAAGAATTATTGTGCAGGCTGAGACCCTAGTCTGATTTGTTCCCGTTGAGCTGACCTCTGTGTCCTAATGGAGCCCCATTAGTCCATTTGTATGAGTGTCTTTTAGGATTAAATGTTGTCTTATGCCAACCAGTTTCAAGTGGCTGACCACATTTTAGATGACAAGAAATTAATTACTTGAGCACTTTTTACATTTTTCCTTTTTTTATTCCCTGGTGTCTTTTTCAGAGACCTCTGCCAAAGAAGGGCTGCTGCTGTGGTGTCAAAGAAAAACTGCCCCTTACAGAAATGTGAACATTCAGAACTTCCATCTTAGGTAAACTTCCATTATTTCAAGGGCTAGAAGCAGTCTAAAATATTTTAGGTGAGATTTTTGCCATAGTTCTGTAGGTATATATTTGACAGGAGAATTTCACTCTTCACTGTTAACTAGACTTTTTTCAAATTTTCATGCTCTATCTTCAGAGTCGTATTTTGGTTAGCCTTTGGCATTATTTACCATGGCTTCCATAGTTACTATTTAAAAGGAAAAAAATCCCTACTACATACAGAATGACCATATTACATTATTAGAGGTCCTTGGTGTATGGGAGTATCTGAGTACCGCAGCATAGTGACTTGGCAAATGACTGCTTTCAAATGAAAGCCACTGTAGGTATAGACTGTTCTTGGCAAAAATACCAATGTGTTGAGCATGCAAATATCTCATTATGATGAATCAGTCTTTATTATTTTGTAACGTAACTATAAATCAGGAGCCAAAAATGCACTCAGTACACAACCGCAGCACTTTAAACATGTCTGTTTTCAGAATCAGGATCATTACCTAATTTGGAAAATTTAGTGAAGCTCCAGCCTTGTGGTTCTGTGTTTTCATTAAGGGCTAGAAAGGGAGTTCCAGGCCATATGCCTAGTTTTGTTGTCCAGGAATTGGGCTAGTTCCTGTAGCTCTGCTGGTGACCCACCTCATTAAACTACGTGACTTGCCATTTGCACTGTTTAACCATGTGATCTTGCCTTCCATGAAACCCTTACAGTACTTACAACAAGAGCTCTGCATTACAGTGTTTTGGTGTTTCGAATTCATTCTTAATGTGCAGCACCTAAAGCACATGTGGTGATAGAGAAGCTAAGGTTCACACATGCATCCACAGATAAAGAGAATTTGTTTGATTTACAATCCCTGTATTGCCTTTAAGAGATCTGAAATTTGTTACGTGTTATTTTCCTTGAATATATAGAGGTATATTTCAGTAGAGCTTTATACGGATGCAGGGTATACTGTAAGTTACAGTATCAGAATCTTAGTGTGTATACATACATATGCTAGTCTGATACATGGTATGGGGAAAACATCTTGAATGGAAGTACCTTGATTAATATTTGGGTTGATCGGCTCTTATAGAACTACTTTACAATAGGCTGTCCAGACCATTTTAGTCTATACCTTTTGGAAAAAAGCTTTTTGTTAGTTTGGTGCTCATTTTGATTCAGTTTTACCTTCTGGATGATTTTATATTATACAATGTATGTGTATTCTGCTTAACTGTATTACATTTTTAGTGGAGATGGTTCTGTTATTTGAAGGATCTACCCAGACATCTCAGTGACAGGGATTCTAACAGTGTTAACATGTTTAGTATCACGAAATTACTGCACAGGATAAGACCTCAAACCCACAGTCCCAGTCATTGCATAAAGTGTTTACATAACGTATCTTTCAGAATAATTGCTTCTGGCTGAAAGGAGCCTTTCATAATCTTTCCAAGTAGATGTTATTTGTAGCTCCATTCATTGCCTATTTTTGCCTTGAAAGGTAGTGGGCCTGAAGTTACGCTGAAGTTAAGAGCTCAGATCGAAGCTGTCATATGTGTGAAATGTTTTAAATAAACTAAGCTGATTTATGACTTCTTACTTCTATGAGCACAACATGGTGCTGTCTGAAATAAATTGTCTGAAATAACTGACACAGAAAAAGCCAGTTGCTTCAGCAAATTCAAGTAATTGCAGGTTTGCTCTCCTTTTAGTTTTTGCAAACATGCTGTAAGTGTAATAGCAGATTATGCATTTTCATTGATGAATGTTACTCTGAGCTGTCCTGGAACACTGCACAAATTAAGTGATTGAAATCAGGGACTATTGCACGTAATGTACATTGCCTAGAAAGTATTATGGAGTCCTCAAGTGTGTATGGACTGTAGAGTAAGATATGTACTACAGGAAGAAGAGTACAGTAACAGAAAAGCTCAGAGGGATGAGAGTTGACAGAACGTAAGTGTCAGGATTTGACAGCAGAGTTCCGGCTTGATTTTAAGCCTTGAGCAAGGATCAAACTGCAAAGTGCCATGACTTTATTAACTAATTTTTTTCCATTCTATTTTTTGTTGTAAAGCTGGAAAGATGGCCTTGGATTATGTGCACTTATCCACAGACACCGACCTGATCTTATTGACTACTCCAAGCTAAATAAGGTCATCAGTCTGGGTGGTACAGCATGCTGTCCTGCAGTGATTTGGCTCACTTCTGGTTTGCTTAGCATGTTTTCTAAAAGGCAAGCTGAGGAGTGCATACTAATTCTGACTGGCTTTCTAAGCTCCCTCCAAAAAAACAGTGACATGGAGGAAAGGACCTCGTGACTGTCCTGCGTCCTTCTTTCCTTCCCATTATAATGCGTTTAGCATTTAATTGCAAATAATCTGGTCCTCAGCTGCCAGGCAGTTGAAGAAGTCTTTTATGCTGCCCAATATGGATGATAAAACAAATACATTGGAATTCTCCATTCACCACTGATAGTATTGTACAGTCCATCCTGTTTTGTATCTGTGTAAATGACTGTAGATTGCAGAGCAGTAAATAATAAGATTATGATTAATCCTAAGATTCTTTAGAACAAACACTACCCGTGGTAATTAGGAGTACGCAATAAGTTACTAGTCTTACATAGAAAAAATTCACCAATTCTTAGATTATACTTCTACCTATACTTCCAGACAAGTCGAAACAAAACTGATATCTTAACTGCCTTACGTAGTACCTCATGGGGATTACAAAACTATTTTATTACAGTGTGCTATTCATGGCAAAATGCATGTTTTCTAAAAGATACGAGCCACTTTGGTTTGAGAGAGAGGAATGAGGAGCAAGTGATAATGTCAGAATTTCTGGGTATCATTACTGAAGAATAAAACTTAGAAACTGGAATATTGTCGTTTCATGTTGGCTCTCAATACATATGCACCATTTTCTGCTCTCTGGAATGAATGCATCTTGACGTCTCACGTAAACACCAGTAAAACAGAAAACTTAATCAAGGTTTTAATTTGTTGAGTGCAACTTTTCATTGATGAGAGAGTAAATCATAGACTATATTTTCCATTCCAATCCCTTCCATTATAAATTGATTTTACTAGTGGAATCAACTGTTATCAGAAAGCCTTTGATGAGGGAAAAGATAAATGAATGAAATGAAATTATTTGAAAACTTAGTCTACTTTATATATATGTTAAGTTTATGCTGGGATCCCCAAGGTGTGCAGTGATGAAAATTAAATGAACTTATTCCTAAACACATAAGACTTTAATTTAGGCAGTTGTAAAGACAACTGCAGATCTGAACCAAAGGGCAAAATATTAGCCATCCACACCAGTTTGTTCTCTAATTCTAGATACAACCTTTCCTGCGGGTAAACAGATTCCTGGAATGACTAAGCTACCTGTCTCTGTGTACATGTGCTTAAGCATGGCACAAACAGAAGTTAGTTTGATTGAGTTTGTGCTTTGAAAAGTGGTAGACTACTAAAAAACTTCACAGTACAACTATCCTATATATGAGTGCTGAAAAAAGGGAATAGAACACAAGCAGATCTGCTTCGGCATTACTATTTTGCTCTTAGATGTTTCCAAAATAAGAACAGGTCAGGTTTCAAACTGAGTCTGAGCTGTGGCACGTAAAGCACATGCAGAAAAATCCCAAAATAGATCTTGCTTTCCTGACCTGCCTGTGTTTGATTGACTGCTCATTTTGGTTACATTAACAGCTGTCTTGGTGTCTTGTTTCTTGGTTTCTTATCTCCTGCATGCTGTCTTTTCCTTTTCTCACCAATGTGTTTTGTGTGAACTTGTAGCTGGAAAGATGGCCTTGCTTTCAACGCCCTTATCCATAGACACAGGCCTGATCTTCTTGACTATGACAAGTTAGATGAGGTATTTCTTTAGCTGTAGCAGAGATTTTTAGTTACTATGGCTTGTAGTTTTGTTTAAAAGGATGGGTGATGGAGATCTCCTCCCATTATTCAGAAGTTGCTGTGATTTTAAACACATGCTTTACCAGTGGAGCACTGTCTACTCATGGACTTAGTACCAAGCACACAAACAGGAGGTGCTTATCACTCATCCATAAGCAAGGTGTTTTAACCTAGTCAATAGGTCTCACTTAGATTTAGTGTATTTTTGTCCCATTTAATTTCAGTAGGAGTTTTTGTATATACATTTAGTAAATGTTGTATTACACATGGTGTCTTGTGTAATAGCAAAAATAGATTAATGGGTTTTAAATATCGTTCACATTTTAAGTTCCTCTTAATGTCAATGATGCACAAAGCTGCTAAATGATGATAGAGTGAGAAATTATGATTAGAGACTTTGTATTCTATTATACCCAAATTGTTAGGTTTAAGTATAAACTCTTCTTCATAACACATTTTATTGAACATGCAGCTTTTTAAGGAAAGGCTATCTAGAATGATATGTTTATAGAAAGACGTGTCATGGGCATTACTGCTTATGATACCTGGTATATGTATGTGCATGAGAAACAGACTTCTGTGAAACTTACATGCTTGAGACTAGATCCCTTTATAGAAAGTGTTCCCTACACAAAACCTGTTAACATTTTTTTCAGTGCCCTCCAGCATCTCCAACTTTGCTCTTCTGTGTCCTATTTTCCCAACCTCTCTCTGTAGACACTGGCATTGTTGAGAGTGGCTATGATCATTTAGCAGTTTGTGAATACATGAAAATAATAATAGCATTAATGGCATGAACTGCCATTTCACATAGGGTGTTTTCTCTCCAGGCTGAACCTGTTAACATTTTTTTCAGTGCCCTCCAGCATCTCCAACTTTGCTCTTCTGTGTCCTATTTTCCCAACCTCTCTCTGTAGACACTGGCATTGTTGAGAGTGGCTATGATCATTTAGCAGTTTGTGAATACATGAAAATAATAATAGCATTAATGGCATGAACTGCCATTTCACATAGGGTGTTTTCTCTCCAGGCTGATATGGGAAGGCTGCCTTAAGAGCAGCCCTAATCTGACACGCTCTTCTGTTGTCAGCAATAGCTCTCTGTAGTGTAAGACATGAAATGTATGCTGTTTATCTGAACTGTGCTCACTGCTTCCTTTCTCTTTCCTTCAAAACCCAAAATGAAAATCTCAAAACCTGAGGAAGTTCTTGAATTTCCACAGCTCTAAAATTCAATTTATAGAGGCATTACAGATTTGTCTGTCCAAGCCAAAACTGGGAAGTTTTGCTACTTCTGAAGAACTGTTCTTCCGTCTGTGCTTGCTTCTTATGCATGCACCTGACCAACAGAGAGAACTCAGTAGAATTCATATCACTCTAATATAACGTATAGTAGGTATAAAAACATGCAGGACTAACTTTGTGATGAACAGTCTAGTATAGCCTACTGGACTTGATGATCTTAGAGGTTGGACTCAATGATCTTAAGAGGTCTTTTCCAACCTTAATGATTTTCCAACCTTCTATGATTCTATGACCAGTGGCCTTAACTGTATGTATTACTGCTGGACTTAATTCAGAATTAGCTCAGAATTATGAGTGTACACTGCATATGTTATCTATGTTCCCCTCCAGAATATATTTGCAGCAGAGTCCTAGTGGTACGTAATAGCTTATTACTGTTTTCTTTTGAAAGTATAGCAGTAGATAGGACAAAAGTTGTGACTCCAGTTTACAGTTTGGAAAAACAGAATAGTGTACCTACTGTAGTCTTGCTTCAAGGAAAAACTTCTATCTTTGACTAATTGTATTTTCTTCTTTAATGCAGGATGACCCCATAGGAAATATCAACCTTGCCATGGAAATTGCTGAAAAGCATTTGGATATCCCTAAGATGTTGGATGCAGAAGGTGAGAGTTGTATCTTACTGAAGTTTGTGTTACTCACAAGCAGGAGACAGTAAAACTTCTTTTGTTTTGTATCTAGCAAATTTTCAACATTCCTTCCACATGAATCATAATGGAGCAACCTGCTTTATTTTCAAACAATGTTCTCCCTCTTGTTCCCCATGTATTGGATGATTTCACTCACTTTTTGCTTCATTCCTTATTGTTTGTTATTGTTTGTATGTATTATAATTCTTTGGGCCCTAACCTCAGCACATGGCCCCACTGTGATAAATGAGGTGAAATGCAGGATCAAAAGATAATCCTTGCCTTTAAGAAATTAAAATCTAAGTCTAATAAAGGGAAATTCAACTGTTAGCAGCTTAAAGCATATTGACTTTTAAAAATGTTTAAGTGAGAGGGCCAGAAATAGAAATAGAAGTACAGAACTTTCAAAATATACTAACAACATGCTTCCTATGAAAGAAAGCAAGGTTGAGGGAAGCAATTTTTTTGGTTTATTTTAATTGTAAACCTTTTACAGTGATAGTTTTAACAAATAGTTTCATGTTTGGTTTCTCCTATAATCTTTAGATTTGGTTGACAAATAACAAGGAAATATTTATTAAAGTTTTCTGAATTTTTTCAAGATGACCAAACTTTTGTACTCCAGGCAAAAAATGGTGCCAAAATACTGGAATTTGCATACACAAGTTCAAAGCATTCTTTTCCAAGTATGCAGACTCTGCCTTGGTGGCTTGTCAGGAGAGCAGTGATAACATGGGAATTATCCAGAGCACTCAAACTCACTGTATCTGCTCCCCTTGAAGTCTTTGGTAGGAAAGTTAGGCCAATACAGGATGATTTGGAAAATCCAAGTTGTAACCTCTTCATTGAAGAGGTTTCTTGGTTTTACCTTCATGCTTCAAAACTAATTGGTTTCATTTTTTGAACTGCAATTCCCCTTTCAAGCAGCACTTAATTATTTTACTCTGAAATACTGTGCAAGGAATAAACAGAAGTGCTACCTCCTTACCATTGAACACCTCCTACTATCATTCTCCTTTCCTCATTTTTTCTCTCCACATACAATGAGAAACCTTTTTCTCTCCTCACCAGATTTTCTGCACGTTCTAGCCCTTTTCTTATTATCCTACTTCTTGGCAGAGGAGGGGGAAATGAAATCATGCTTCTTCTAACACCCTCTAAGTATACACCATCACTTTTTACTCTCTTTACTTCCACCGTGTTCTCAGTGGAAACTTTGCAAAGTTTTGTTCACAACTATGTGAAGTAGATGCAAAATCAGTAAATTCATTGGTCCTGAACTTAGAAATCTCACTGTTAATATTAGAAATTGTGACCTCATTCCTGGGTCTTTTCACACCAGTATCTTTTCACTCCTTACATTGGCAGGAATCGTTGCAGCTTGCACTAGCATCATTCATCACTCAGCCGTAATTGAATTAAAACCACCTTTTTCTGCCTTTCTCTGTTAAGTATTGAAAAGGTCCATTTTTACCAATGTACCCATACCTTGATTGCACCTTCTCTATACTTCTACTCTTTCCTGCCATAATAGGGACAAAGCTATCAGCCAGCCAAGCCAAACTCTTCTGTGATTTATGCTATTAACTAAAAAGACAGACTGGTGCAGGGATTGCAAAACTGTTACTCTCCAAGCTTTTCTTAGCACAAAATGTATTTCTGGACTGCCGGAGTTCTACAGGTTTCCAGTATATGTCAATACCCTGTCAGTCACGGGGACCCTGTGCTAATATACACTGTACTCACTCCTATTTTGTGACTGTCAGTGGCTGTGTTTAACTCTGGAATAATTCTAGTGATTTAGATGAAGTTGCTTTGGAGTGACAGTGAAGCTGAACCCAGTAGATCTGCCAGCCATGCCATCTGTTTGGAAGTTTCCGCAAAACAGAAGGTAGCAATGCCCTTCTGTACAGTCTCAGCCTTCAGATGTTTTGCAATTTCAGGAAGAGTTATATCTTTTCCATTTACTGATTCCTAAAGCTCAGGTAGCTTTGCACTGATATCAGTAAACAGATGCAACCTGAATAATGGTGTATTTATTTTGAATCCTTACAGCACTGAGGTGGCATCATCAGCATAATCTGACGGAAGTACCTTGTGAGAATTTCTGAGCAGTTAACCCTCTTCTCTCTACACAGATGTAGTAAACACTGCCAGACCTGATGAAAGAGCCATTATGACTTATGTTTCCTGTTACTATCATGCATTTGCTGGTGCTCAGAAGGTGAGATTGTAGAAGATGGATCAGATCTCATCCTTCACCTTCTGTCTTGTTTCTTCCGATCTTTTCCTCACTAGTTACTATGACAGTGTCTTAGAGCTGAGTTCATTTCCTGTTGCCTGATTTTCTCTGTCAGCCACTGTCTTGGTAGAGCCAGTAGTAGTCTATTCATTTGTTCCATAGAAACAAACCTTCCTGTCTCATCTTTCTGTATATCGACTAATAATATCCAGTAGGTTTTTGACAGCTGATTACTGAATGGGATAGAGGTCATTATCCTCTTTAATTGAACATGTGTGCATTCATTTGAAGCACCTTTAAAAATACAAGATGAAAATAAGCTCGTAGTGAAAAAACAATTTCAATAGCAGAATGCCATCTTTTTTCTCCCTGCTGGATATTATTCTTGCTACAGATGTCAAAATCGTCATAACAGATGTTCAGAAAATAAACCCTTCTCTTATGCTTTCAGGATTGTTTTTAAAATGTTAAGTGCTTAATGGTAAGTACAAACAGCAACATAAAACATTGCTACTATGCAAAATAGACACAGAAACATACACGGATGTCTCAGAAGAGCTCTGGAATCATGGAAAGAATGGAAAGAAGGAAAATTTTAAAAAGCAAGGTAGTTCAGAGTTGGACATACTTCAGGTATTAGTAATACAAAGAATACTGATATATAATGCTAAGGTTATAACTAATCCACATGCAATTTCCAGAGAACATCTCCCCAGATGAAAATGTAGTCTGTCTTTCCTGTGTCTTAGTCAAAAAACCCCCATATTCTAAGTCACCATATGCGTGCCTGTTCTTAAGCAGATAGTCCTGGTAAAATTAAGGTCACTCTCCCTGTGACAATACTGCAAGATCAAGCTTATTAAAAAAATTCCACTTCTTTGTAAGAGCTTATGTTGAATTTCTAGTGTACGTTTTATTCTGTCAGCACCCATCAATCTAACACTAAATTTATTACAGCTTTGTAGAGTTTCTAGAGTACAGACCTATGGACAAGAAAACAATCAGAATGACACTATGTTGTGCTTTTATTTATTCATCCTGTTTTCTACTCCTCGATTCCTTTTTTTGTTTTGTTTTCTTTTAATTTCTCCCCACCTCTTGTAGATATTGTGAACACTCCCAAACCTGATGAGAGAGCTATCATGACATATGTGTCCTGCTTCTACCATGCTTTTGCTGGAGCAGAGCAGGTATTAATCAACTGTCCCTTCAGGTTGCTGTGGTTTTGATTGGTTGTTTCACATTTCCACTAGTTTATTAAAAAAACCTAATTTATTACTTTGTGGTTTTAATTAACAATTGCAAGTATTACTTGAGCACTAATACTTGTTTTTAACCAACACTTGAACCTGTTTTAGTGAAATGTTGTGTAGCAAGTTGAACTTCTTTAATTCCAGTGGATATTCCTGTTTCTAATTTTGGGTCTTTATTTGGTGATTATAAAGACTATTTCAGAAAAACTGTATTTGAAGATACTGTGAAATGGAGTTGTTTTTTGTTGCTCCATCATCATCTTATGCATTTGCTGCGTAAAAGAATGTTTGTCTTTTGGAGATTGAGACTATTCTAGACTTACTCATGCTGAGTAGTAATTTAGGGCTAGATTTTCAAAGATGCCTAAAGATGCAGAAAGGCACAGAAGACATCCAACACAGTATTTGTGCCTGGTTCCCTCTGAAGCCAACAGAATTATTTGTGGATCAAAGTACTAGTATAAAAGGCAAGAACATCAGTAGCAGATCTGGCATATAGGATAGGATTCTCATGTGGTACATGAGAATGTGGTATTTCCCACTGTTCTGCTTCATACATTTCTAGCCTACAAATGGACATAACCCAATGTATGTGGGGAAAAAAAAAAAAAAGAACCCTTAAAGTAGTTGATGATATTTTTCCTTCATCCTCAGGATTTAATTTCCCTGCCTGTCTTGTAGGCCCCCTACACCTTATCACAGCACAGCTATGCTGTTGTGCCCTCTTGCTTCTGGGTATGAAGGTTTTACTATTCATGCAAAAGGGGAATTCCAAATACTCTGTAACACAGGAGTCTACACAGTATTTATTTGATTAGATATACTCCAGACTCACATTTGTATGGAAGTATAGGTCTGTGATGTCAAACTACTAATGTAAATTTTAAATATGGCAGGAGGCATGAAAAGATTTGCTGTCAGTGGTTGAGCTGCATATATTCTCAAGGGTATATGTACATATGATATGCAGATATAGAATGGTCTGGGACTCCTGAATCACATGTGGTGTTGTCCTGGTTTCAGCTGGGATAGAGTTAAATTTCCTCCTAGTGCTGTGTTTTGGATTTAGTATGAGAAGAATGTTGATAACACACTGATGTTTTCAGTTGTTGCTAAGTACCCTGCTAGTCAAGGACATTCAGCTTAACAAACCAACCAAACAAAAAAACCCCAAAAACCCCTAAACCAAACACAAAAAACCAAGCTTTGGGAGGGAGCATAGCCAGGACAGCTAGCCCAGCTGGCCAACAGAGTATTCCATACCATGTGACGTCATGCTCAGTATATGAATGGTAGGCGTGTTCCAGGAAATAGCGATCGCTACTTGGTTATCAGTCAGCGCGGGTGAGCAATTGCATTGTGCATCACTCATTTTGTATATTTTATCATTATTATTATTTTTCCGTTTCTGTTCTATTAAAGTGTCTTTATCTCAACCCACAAATTTTTCTCACTCTTACCCTTCTGATTCTCTCCCCCTCCCACTGGGGGGGTGGGGAGGAGTGAGCGAGCGGCTGCATGGTATTTGGCTGCCTGCCAGGTTAAACCGTGACAGGTGTCTTTCCAGTGTGGCTAACAAATCTAATACTTTTTTGGTGTGATTTTAAAAAAATAACCTAATAGGATAGCTAAGAATGGCCTAAGATGTCTTTGAAAATAGAAGATTTATTAGACAACTATAGTGGCAGTGTGGAATTTCCTTGTATAATAAGGCTTCATTGTACAACAAGGTGACTTCTGTGCTGGTCTGTGCCATATTCAGGCCATTGGAATCTGTGACTGCAGAAGGAGGGTAAATGTATATCTAAGTAACCTAGGAGCACAAATCAACAACTATAAAACAATGTGATTTTTATTTGCAGCAGCCACATTTTCTTTCTTTCTCCAAGCCTGTACCTTTCTCAGAATGTGTTTATGAACATGTCCTGTTTATTTGCTGTGTTTGACAGGCTGAGACTGCAGCTAACCGGATCTGTAAGGTGCTTGCTGTGAATCAGGAAAATGAGAGGTTGATGGAAGAATATGAGAGACTAGCAAGTGAGGTAAAGACAGCTGTATCTGTAATGTGGTGATAATTATGTTCATGAAATACTGAAAGCTGAAAGATTTATGCACTCTCTGCAAGACAGCAAAGTGAAGACACTATGAGGGTAAATCTCACAGTGGTAGGGTACAAAGCTCAGTTGCCCAAGATGTCAAGGTTCAGGTGATGCCTTTGCCACAGACTTCCTGTGTGACCTCCAGCAAGTCACTCAGTCTCATTAATGTGCCAGAAAGGGTGTTTTGAGGACTGTCATTGGTCTGCCCCAAGACCAAGCTTGCTGTTTCTGTAATCTCCAGAGATAGCCATCCTTGACCACATGTGGAACATACAGGATCCTGTCACTCCAACCAAGCCTGCTGGCTTTGTGTACTGCAGGGTGTGACAGACAGGGTCTGTCAGGGTGTTCACAATGCACCTGTGAACACAGGCAGCAAATGAATGAAGAAGGGGGCACCTTGTGTTCCTCCTGTCCTTTCTTGGTACATGGCAAATTTGTTGAGTCAGGACTACAGATGAGTAGTACACAAGTGACAGCTCCCTTGTCTTTAATGCATAACCTGAAAAAACATACTGAGATCATAGACACAAAGACAGTAGTGCTACATTGGCACTAACGGACTTCTGAGTGAAGATTTTTATATGACCTGAGTTACTTGGCTGGTGTCTGTCCTGATCTCATAACTATGACTACTTGAGACATCAAGACCAATACTTTTGAAAGTGGCAAGTGATTTTGGGTAGCTCAGGTTTTTGAGTAATTAGCTAGAGACACCTTACGTGTGTTCATCTTTCTGAAAATCAGGGTATTTCTAGAAATACCTAGAATATCTGGGCAAATTAGTTAAAAAAGTATTGTTCAGCTTTGAAAATCTTGTGCTTACTTGCCATTAAGGCACTGATACCAACTGGTCAATAATATTAAAGTGGAGCAAACTTGATTAGGATTTGTGCATTCAATATGATCTTTTTATGGTTGCTTTTCCATTGCCTTTATTTCAATTTTTTGTGTTGGTTTGAAAGCTTTTAGAATGGATTCGCCGGACAATTCCTTGGCTGGAAAACAGGACCCCAGAAAAAACAATGCAGGCTATGCAGAAGAAATTAGAGGATTTCCGGGACTACCGCCGCAAACACAAACCTCCCAAAGTCCAAGAGAAATGTCAACTGGAGATCAATTTCAACACCCTGCAGACAAAACTGAGAATCAGCAATCGGCCAGCTTTCATGCCATCAGAGGGAAAAATGGTTTCAGTAAGTAAAGGAGGCACCAATATTCTGTTCTCCTTTTTATCAACGTTCTCACAAAAATTTCAACGGGAAGGATTGAAATGCCATTTTAAGTCATCCTCAGAAACTTCAGTTTGTTGCACTTTATCAATATCAAATGACTCTTTTTACACATTCCCTTTCATTCTAGATTCTGGCTTTCTCTTAAGCATGTTCTTGCCTCTTTGAAGGCTTTCTCCAAGAGCAAATTGTCTTGAGACGTGAGACAATACAGAGCTTCCTTTGGGAGTATTATGAATAGTTCTCTATCAGTGAGGCCAAATATTGTTTATTTAAGCAAAACTCACAGTGGTTTCACTGACATTTTCGTCACCAGACTTATAGAAAGAGACATTGCTCAATATATGTTTCTGCTTTTTTCTACTTTTTAAAATTAAATTTTGTTTTTTCTTTGTGTCTTATCTTTGTGTGAAGATAAGAATAGTCAGTACCAAGAATTCTCATCTGCTGATAAGTACTGTGAGTTGACTGTGGGTCAAAACATTTCCTGTGGAATATAGCAAACCTGTTTCTGTACTCTGTTCTATCATTGTGTTTTGGTTGCTCAGATTTGATAAAGAGGCGATTGCACTATCTGAAAAGGGCCATTGTCCACTCCCCATATACAGAAAACAAGGGCCCTGTTACTTCAGTTTCCTACTCATGCCTTTGAGTTTCTGAGGAAGCTCACAAAACTTTGTGCACCACAGAAAGTGAAATGAATTTGTATTCCAGATAAAATACGCTCCAAATCCTTTTGATACTAATTATTTTCCTATTGTCAACTTCCGAGAGCAAAGGACTTTTATTTTGATAACAGATGGGTATATCATAAAAGAATACGCACATTGTAAAATGGGAGGTAAAAGCAATATATCGTGAAGACACTGAATGTGTAGCTATGCTTGGAAGCCATTTGTATAGGGGTTCCTTTCATGAACCCACCTGAATAGAACGCGCTATTAGGAGCAGATGTCTGGACTATAAGACTTCCTGAGCTGCCTGACAACATTTTCTATGATTCTGTGATTTAAAAAATCTGGACATTAAAATTTCTCTTTTTGGAGCAAAATTGTGAATGAATCAGAGATCTGCAAATTTGGATAAAAAGAAATTATAGTTTCATTCCCTCTCTCCCATGTATTCTCTTCACAGGATATTGCTGGCGCTTGGCAGAGACTTGAACAAGCTGAGAAAGGCTATGAAGAGTGGCTGCTGAATGAAATACGAAGACTGGAAAGACTTGAACACTTGGCTGAGAAATTTAGGCAGAAGGCTTCCACTCATGAACAATGGGCATATGGTGAGCAAAGATGGCTTTTAACATTTTTAATGTTCTAATGTTCAGAGTTAAACTGTCAGTGCTGAATATTTGCCAGCCAGAAACTCACTCATAAGTAGTTTGGACAGTTTTAGAAACCTAAAATAATAGATAAAATTGCAGGTTTTGTTGACTATAGTCATGATCCTAACTTGTAGGCATGTTGCTAATGATATGTAACTTGAGGTAGTGAGTCAAACTTAATGGGAATATTCAGCATTTGAATAGAGGCCATTACTGCTAATGGAGTCCTATGTATTTGTACACCAGCAATCCAACCAGGAACACAGTGACACCACTGGTTAAGTGTGAAATTATTAACAGAGTTATTCTGAGTTGATTATCATTTGGTCATCATGATGTTTTGAATAGTCCCCATAAACTACATGCTAATGGACTCATTTCTGCTTTGCTCCATACCCTGGATTACACCCCATTTATAGTTCTGTTTTTTAAGGATAACCTGACCTTACGTGTAGTTGTAACAGCTATAGGACCATACACTAGCATACAGTTTTGCTGGGGACCATTAAACATGGATCTGCTCTATGATGCTATTGTTTGCCTTGACAACAGTCTTCCTGCTTCTGCCATGCTTCTGGCTTTTTCCAGCTAGGATCTTTTCACACTGTGAAAGTAAACCAGAGTCCATCCCATAAGACAGTTGCTGGAAGCATACAAGGCTGTAAATGGCTGCCAAGCAGATACTAGAAGGGAAACGACAGCATTTATCAGCCCTGAGAGCCTATTTTCTGAGCGTAAACTACTCATGATGACGTGTTAATGGCTGTTAGGTAGGGAAAACTTCACATAAGCTGGTACGTAGCAAGTGAAACAATAGTCCCTTCTGGCTCTAGAATTCACAGAGCTGTGTAATGCCGTGTGGTGAGCTGCAGTTGTAGAGGCTGTCTGTATAGATTCAGTTGTCCAACACAGGAGCTGCTGAGGAGTAACATTTCAGTTTCTGATTTCCTCTTTGCTTCTCTAGCCTTTTGTAAATAGGTTGGCATTTTCCACTTAAAATTCAGTGTTTGATACAACAGGCAGCCACACATCTCAATCTTTTCTTTTTTTTTCTTTTTTTTTTTTTTTTGGAAGTGCTGAAATGAATAATGAATTGAAGGCAGAACATGAAGAAGAATAACAGATCATTAGTAGGAGTGAAATTGAGCACAGCAGTGTGATTTCTGGTTTCATAAGTCTATGTTACAAAAGACTTACCACAATAGTTTAGAGCCCCAGTTTTTGCCAGTGTACCATTTTTATGCCAGTTTCTCAGGCAATGTAATACTCGCTATTTTAGACCAGTATAAACAGCCTATGCAAGAATGAAGGAATTACTGAGAGATCTTTAAAAATATATATTTCTACTTAACACTGTTGTGCTGACAAGTTGCCACTGATTTCAGTGGGGGTGGGACTTCATCTCATACATGTAATTTTCACCATGCCTCAGTTTAAAAAGTTGATTAAATTTGCAATTTTCTAACAAAAAAATTAGTAAAAAATTACTAATATTTTAATTTTCTCTTTCAGGCAAAGAGCAGATCTTACTTCAGAAGGATTATGAATCTGCTTCTCTGACAGAAATCCGCGCCATGTTAAGGAAACATGAAGCTTTTGAGAGCGATTTGGCTGCTCACCAGGACAGGGTGGAACAGATCGCTGCCATTGCCCAGGAGCTGAAGTATGTTCCATTTAAAGGCTTGCAGCTGCTGACATTTAACTTTGCGATAAACTCTTTCCAATGAATTTGATAGTGTCATAGGTACCAACGTAAGAATTCCGGAGATAGCTTCATAAGTATATTATCTGAGCTGGTCACTGAGACCTTTCCCTCATCTCCCCCTTACCCCAACCAAATATAGATACTCAACTGACCAAAATTATTTGAAAACAAAAATTTTAAAATTGACTTAACAGTAAACTTTTAGTATTAGCTCTACTGATGAGTCCGTTGTGTGTTGATGGGAATGCTGGAGGTGTTTATTTCTCAGTTCATATGGTCTGCTGAGAGGTACTACCTATGACTTTTTGAACTTAGAAAACAATTTCAATTATACAAATTACAGACCAAGCGTCTTCACTTTAAAATCAAGTATTTTCTCACAAGTATATTGGTCTTTCCAAAAGGCTTCACATCCCTAAATTATCTCTATAATAGTGGGTCATGCACTGACTTTTCTGAAGATTTAGTTGTCTCTCATATATTTATTTTCACAATCTCTTCATATTATATTTGGAAGTGCCATTGCCTCCATTTTACAGAAAGGGTAGTGGGGCATATGGAAACTAAATAACTTGCTCAGGGTCACACAAGTAATCAAGCACACAAGCTCTCCTATAGGAGAGCAGGAGTTTTCACCCACAGTTCCATCAACTTAGCCACAGGACCAACACTTGCTCACTCAGCATACTATGCCCAGAGAAAACACAACCAAAGCTGAGAATAATTCTACAACACATTTAGGCTACATCTCTATTGTTGACATCAGCTACATAGGTAAGGGATGTGAAAGTCAAGGCCCCTGACTGACAGACACCCTTATGGCAGCAGAAGTCCTGAGTGTTGATGCAGTTACTCTGGCTAAACTCTGTCTTTATCAGTGGAGCTTGCTTTTTTTTTGTGGGGAGGTTGTTAATTCACCTGTGTGAAGCACAGTTTTGTCAGCAAAGCTCTGCCCACACTGACAGGACTGTACTGTTATATACTGATGTCCCTATTCTGGTAAAGTTGGCCTGGTGTGTACACCAAGCTAAGCACATTTGACTTTACAGTCTTATGCAGTTAATTGCAGTGGTTTTGTACTGTAAATCAGTGGCGCTGCTCCTGATCTTAGCCATTTGGCACATACTTAAATTCATTGCTCACCCGCAGTATAAATCTGTAAAGCCAACAGGAACAGATGCGCGGTAGTGATCGAAACAGGAGCCACCATCAAAATTCCCAGATTCCTGGCCTTGGCTTCAACTCTCTAAGCTTCAGTTTCTCACTTTCTTGAATAGGCAAAACAGTTACTACTCAAAAATCAAGTGTTAAAAACATGCCCTCTTTTCACTTTGTGAAGGACCATGACTTATAAACAGCTCCACATTCATAAAAAATTTAAAAATCAGAGAGTTGTTCTAAAAACGTAGTTCATACCTGATAGCAGCAGCACTTACAGTAATTATATAATTCAAATGGATTTAGAAGAAAAATCCTATTTTTCAAGATCTTTTAAAGAAGGAAAAGTAAAGCACAGTGGGCAGAGTAAGTATTGGTTTTTAGTTAGTGTGAAAGAAGTCTGAAAAACACAGAGGATGGAGATTTCACTGAGAACGTGAGCTTACAAAACACCTTCTGTCACGCCTTAATCTCTGTTGTGGAGTTATTTGTTCCTCTTTATACTAAAGAAAGTTTCTGAAATGCCTGATCATTGTTAATTCAGCTTCAGCTTTACAAGAGATGAGAAACTTTGGGAATGTAGCATACATAGCACAGCATCTGCTTACCAGCGTTTTGAACCCTGTGTCCTTTACCTCTGGTGACGCAAGTGAACACTGTATCCTGTCTATTTTAGGATTGTCTCTTCTCAGTTGTTTCAGTAATTTGCTGTGTGAAGTTAAACAAGTTATTTGTGGACTGAGCTGCAAAGGTGCTGAAAACCCATTGCTTTTAGAGATGCTCTGCTTTAACTTCTCTGCTTCTCCATACAATGGGGCTATCAGTGTCTGATTTTTCACTGAGACTTAGTAGCTCACTTAAGCTTAATGCCCTTGGACATCACTGAATGAAAGGTCATAAAGGTCAAGTTTTATTATTAGCTGCAAGCAAATGGGCAGCTTCTGTTCAAATACTGATTTTAATTATTTATACATAATTCCTTAAAGAATGAAATTATGGAGGAAAATGCTAATTTCTTTCTCCATTCATATTTTTAAAGAAGGATTGACTAATGTCTGAATGCTAAGAAATGTGCATTGGCACCTGATCCAAAGCCTGTTGAAGTCAATGTAGGTATTTTTTTTCTTGTTGTTTTTTTTTTTTTTGTCACTGGATCAGGCCCTTATAGAAATCATCATCATCTGTGTCTAAATTCCAAGTCAGTACACCTCCATGTTTTGTTTTAGTCAATCTCTTGGCTGCCTAATGTTGCTATTTCAAAGCAGAAAAATTGCTGTGTCACCTTGGACTCTACCAGTTACAGTTTCCTGCCTGTTCTGGTATTTTCTGCTGCAGCAGCTCAGTCTGCTGTGTGCTTAAGGTTAAAGTTGCTACAAGCTTGTTGATTGATGCTGTTTTGATAAAGGATTTGTGTGTGTGTGCAAGCAGGTGATTCCAGCCAGGATGCTGCTATAAGATTGTTGTGTTCCAGCCTGTATAGACTTTAAAATCCTTGGCAATAAGGCATGATAAGGCATGGATAGGGCTATATACAAAGCTGGAAAAAGTCAGGCATTTCTAAAATGGGATTTGCCATTTATGACATAGCAAATGCTAAATAGAACTTGAGTGAGCTGTACTATGAAGTGCCATATTCATTTATGGTCTTGTGTGCTCATTTCAATCATCAGGATAAAATTTTTGGATTGTAGTTTCTTGCATATCCATCACTTCTAGTATAGCAACTTATTTTCACCCAAGACGACCACTATCTGTAACTCTGATTTGGAGAGTCTTTTTGCTTCTGGAAACCTGCGCTCAAATTGTGCTTACGTGCATGATTAACATGAGCCTGGTTCTGAAGCAGTTCTAAAGCATGTTGCTCAGCAGGTTATTTTTGTGACACTATCACTGTTCCTATAGTGAGTTCATACTTAAGTGCTTCTCCGGATCAGGATAAAATTTGACTAAATTTTTAATTCTTTACAGATAAGATTGAAGTACTTGTAAGATCAATAGGAATAGCTTAATGATTTTTAAATTCTAAAGGCTGTAGATTTCAAATAACCAAACAAACAGAAATGAGTGTTCTCTTGGAAGCTCTGTAACACATGTGCAGCAGTACTTTGTGTATGCATGATAAGCAAAACTTCTTTTTACAAAATCTGAAATCTAGTCTCTTCATAGCTTCAATGTTGAGAGAGATACAAAATTTAATAGGACAAGGAATGTAAACCTGTGTTTTATTTCCAAGTAAATAATCTCCTATGAGTTGTTATTTCTTCCTCTGTTCCTGCTTTGAGCAGAAAAATGTTCTTCGACACATATAATACACTTATTTGAAGTAAACTACAGCAGGCCCAGAAAGGCAGTGGAGCTACACTGTTTAATGCCACTTGGTGATCTAAAATTACGATTTTTGACCCACGGGTGCCCTTTCCAAAAGTTGTTTTGATAATATTATTCTCCTACCTATTTGTCCACAGCACATATCCCTGGAAGAAATAGGATAGCAGAGATCTTATGGGGAATGACTGAACCTCCCTGGCAGAGCTGGTGGAGGAACGTTGCACATTACCTTCCAGGACTTTGATCAGAGCTGGTACAATCAGTCCCTCACTTTCATGGAAGGACACCTGCCCTTATCCTAACTGACAAAAGGAGATAAGTGATCCATTGAAGGAAAAATAAAATTTGCAGTACTGCAAATACTGGAGTACATGGAAAAAATACCCTGTCCGTATTCTGGTGTGTTAGATTTGGTATGCGAAAAGAGACCAGAATACAAATCTCCACATCCCATCCACTTAGTGAGCTCACAGCTCACACAGGAACATCATCTAATAATCTCAATATGCTGTAGTTAAAAAAACCCAACTTCTAGCCAAAAACTCATAGCAGCAAAATATATCTCATTGAAAACTCCATGCTTCTGACTTAAAATTTCTTGACGGCTTTTGTTGCATCCCTTGAAGGCTAACAAAAAGGCTTGCTCTGAAGGAGGAATCAAGTTTTTGAGTTAAGGAGCTCTTGTATAGTATGATTTGCTGGCAGCTTTCTCCTTACATATAACAGTTTTACTTTCACAATTTTGGGTTGTTTTGTTATTTTTAAAAATTGTTATGGCATTTTATTTTTACTTGTTTTACTATTCTTCACTTTCAACAGTTGATTGATTGCGGCACGTCTGAAGCCTCTTTTAAACAGAATGGTTCGCATACTTCTCAACTTTATCCCGAAACAGATTGCTCTGACTGAGATTAGAGGAGGAAACATGAACACTGCCCCTGGCCTACAGTGTAGCTTCACAGAGGAAAGCTACCTCTGTTCTCATTTTGTCCTCTCTGATTCCCTAAGTTATTGGTAGAAGTGATCTGTACATTCCTCTTGCCAATTGCCTAAAGAAGAATGTTCAAAAGAAAGGAATAAATTCTATCTGCATTTAATGCCTTGTTCAAGCCTTAAAGTAAATCTTAGCTTCATGTCGCCATGCTGTCACATAATCACAATCTCTGCAATGTTTGGTACTGGGCAAAGTGTCCTCAAGGAGCAGCCAAGAGCTAAATTCAGGGGATGATGATTAGCAATAAAAGTGAGCTTCCAAAGTGCCAAACACATTATGGTTATGATGGCTTCAGCAGAACCAAGGGGATTATCTGCCACAGATCAAAAATTCAATTTGAGATAGACTCAGTGCAGAATCTCAGAACAGAGACTAAAAAAGTTATTCCAGTCTTAGGCAGAATACTAAGTTGCTTTCTGTCAGGATAATATAAGCCTATTAAGCAGGTGAAAAAGCAATGCTAACTGCTACATCCTTTGTGGGTGCACTGATTCATGCTGGTGGCATACGTGGCTCTGGAGATTCCTGTTTTCTGAACCAGTCAGTTCTAGGGTGTAGCTCTGTGAGGAGTTCCTGGAGAGGAAGATGAAAATTGTTCTCTGTGCCCCAGACCTGAGCAGCCCCTATTAGTATTGCCAGGCCTATGAAAGAGAGATTATGCTTTGAATGCAACCTGAGGTCTGTGTCTCAGCTGAATAATTTCAGAGCATATGAGGCTGGAAAGGATCATTGGATTATTTAAAACAAAATGTATATTTCAGGCCAATTAATTTAAAACTGTACCAATCTTCAGAAACTTGATAAAGCCCCAGACTGAAGCATTCTGGTCTTCAGGAGATCAAATTGCTTGTGCCACAGGAATAGCTGAGACAAAGATGGTTAGACACCTTAATTGTCTTTAATACCTGGATGTCACAGATGGATACTTGATCTTTCTCACAACAGAGGAGGTTGATCCTGTTCCTGTGCTGTGCTTCTTGAAATGCTGAATGCCTAGATCACACATGTCTATACTGCAACACTTGCTTACCTGGAGGAGGAATATTGCAAAAAAGAGGGAGAGAATTACTGAGGTCCAGTGGAGGAGTGTGGACAATGCAACTGCTCCTGCCTTTCAGAAAGTCACACAGATTTTTGTCTTCACTCTTTCTTAGTGAACTGGACTACCATGATGCTGCAAGTGTCAACGATAGATGCCAAAAGATATGTGACCAATGGGACAGCCTGGGAACACTTACTCAGAAAAGGAGAGAGGCACTGGAGGTAAACCATGATCAATAATCAGCAGCTCAGCTGAGGCAGGGACGGGAGAATGAACCATTTGTTCCAGGTCTGGAACCAGTGCCATTGAGCATCCACTTTGGCGTCCAAACAGCAATAAACCCTTTCCTCAGATCTCCATTTCATTTTGGTGTGGTTTCATTTGCAAATAGATTGAATTGCTCAGAGCAGACTTGACTGTGCTCACCTGCCAAGGACAGTCCTAAAGCAGCAACAAATGGCATGCGGTTTATAGTACCACTTTTTGGGAATTTGATGTCCAGCAAGGATAACAAAAGCCATTAGGTGCTTACCTTTTCATACTTGTCTGAGCTGAATCAGGTGAGGTACAGGATAATGGCCAGCACTCAGTTAATTTTTTTGTTAGTGAGTATTCCAAAGCACTGAGATACTTTCCAAAACTTTGTTCCTTAAGAAGAGAGTCACACACATACATGCCAAAGTGGAAAACATATGTCTAACTCTTCCTTTTTATACTTACAAGAAATTACTAAAGCAAGATTAGCAGATTTTAATTGATTTGCAGATAGATTACAATAACAAAAATACTTAAAATATCAGTAGTGAAAAAGTCATTTCACTTGTTATCTTTCAAAGGTATACACCCCTTTTAACATGTTGGATATGAGAGTATCTTTACTGCAATTAGTCCTGTTGCCTTGAGTGAGAATCCTTAAAGCAGGTGGTGAAATCAGTCAACAATACAATCAATTGCTTTTGAAAAGATGAGGCATGACTTTGCGCATGGGTGGGTATGTGTGTGGAGTTAGGTCTTGCCCTAGTAACAAAGGATTGTACCTTTCCCAACCTGTACAGAGGACAGAGAAATTGCTCGAAACAATTGATCAGCTTCACCTGGAGTTTGCCAAAAGAGCTGCTCCTTTCAACAACTGGATGGAAGGTGCTATGGAAGACCTACAGGACATGTTTATTGTTCATAGCATAGAGGAAATTCAGGTAAATGGTTGTCTCTTTTTTGGCTTACAGTCATAGGGAAGACAAGAAAGGAAGCTTTTCCTTCTTGGAGAGTAGAACACGTGTAAGGAAAAAAAACGTACTCTGTCGTGACATTTTCTTTGTGATAGGCAATGTCTGCTCTGTTATAAATAGGGTTCTTCATTTGTATGAAAGCATATTCCAGAGATCATGGAAGAAGCGAAGGTCCTGATAAAGTCAATGAGGGCTGTTTCATGAATGTATTTACATGTATTATTTCCTGTATCTACAGATACATGTAGACAGGGTGTTTGGGAGACTGAGAGAAGAGCTGTGCTTATTTACAGCAGATCTTCCGGATGTTGGAAGGAACATTAAAGTTTTCATGCTTTCCCTCTCTGTTTCTGATTTTAGAGTTTAATCTCTGCACATGATCAATTTAAAGCTACTTTGCCAGAGGCAGATGGTGAAAGACAGGCCATACTGTCAATCCAGAACGAAGTTGAAAAAGTTATTCAGAGTTACAGCATGAGAATAAGTGCAAGCAATCCTTACAGCACTGTTACTGTGGAAGAGATTCGTACCAAGTGGGAAAAGGTAACGTATGCTAAATACATAAAGGACATTGTAAGATAATATTCTAGTTTAGGAATACTGAGAATATTCAGAGAACTTTACCATAAATCTGCAAATTATTCCAAAACATCAGATGCCAGAATGAACTTTCTAAAGTATTTTATGCTCTCCCTTATGTTTGCTAGGCTTGTTTCACAATGTCCCTTGCTCCCATCACTCAGTGTTACCTATGTCCATTTTGGCTTTTTGGTGGGGCAAGAGAAGCACGTGTTGGGACTAGTGCAGAGCTGGTGGCTGGCCGGTGGATGGGTCAGGGGGTGCTGTCAAAAGAACAGAAAATGATTGTATTCTTTCTCTCAGTGTAAACAGTAGTTTGTGTTTCTCTTCTACCCAGCTGCTGCTTTTCACAAATGTTATAAAAAATTAGCATCTTTGGGACCGTTAATGTTCTGTCCAATTAGACAGAAATTGGCAATTACCTTAAAAAATTACTGGGGAGGTATTAAAGAGAGGCTCTTAGAGCGATCACACAAATTTTATTTCATTAGGTACCAAGACAGATAATATGCTGAAAGTAAATTATTGTGTAGAATGCATGAATTTACCAAATACATAAACTTACACGGACAAGAACACACCCTCAATGGGTTATAAAAACCAAGCAATAAATTCAGAATCTCCCAGGGCAATCCAGAAGGGTAAGCCAAAAAAAGCATTTGCAATGTATTAGAGATCTTCAGATATACATGATGGATGGAATGTGTCTCATGTTATCCTATTGTAATGGCTGTACTCAAATAAAATGTTTTGCACCGACTATTCTTAGAACAATTTCTTGGAGATTGAAAAATCATCTGTGTTTCAAAAGAAAAATAAAGTAACTGCTCTAATAACAGTTCAAGTTAAATAATTGTCTTGAACTTGAATCCAGTCAGAGGTGAGAATTTCGTCTCTCTCCATGTCAGTCTCTCTGGTCAGGCTGCCCAAGACCATGTTAGCAATTTCTTATGTTAGCATAGAACTGGTAAATAAAATAGTGATCATGTTTTTGGCTTGTCCTTCTGATATCAACCTTCAGACCAATAAGAAAAATTAGTAACTGTAGGCTTATTTGTTCCATTTGTTTTTAAACTATTCAATTGTGACTACTCACACTTAGTGCTTTACCACTGTAACAGGTGAAGCAGCTGGTGCCTCAGAGGGATCAATCCTTGCAGGAGGAACTAGCACGCCAGCATGCCAACGAGCGCCTGCGTCGCCAGTTTGCTGCTCAGGCCAATGTCATTGGGCCATGGATCCAGACCAAGATGGAGGTGAGTGTCAGACTCTCATGCAGAAGCTGACAAACAAAGTGTTTTATAATTTTTTATCTCTGCTTTATATACAGGTCAACAGCAGTCTCCATGATAGTTCACGAGCTGTTTGATCCTGAAGTATTTAGCACCTGATAAGATGATTTTTAAAATTGTGGAAGCTTGTACAAGTGGTACCTTGATGGTGAGCAGGAGATGTAGCTTTGAAAAATCAATCACTAAACAATTACTATTTAGCTTCTGCTTTCTGTAAAGGAAAGATACTGGGATCACTGGGATCTCAATACTGATTTTAGAAATAAATGTGCCACGTTTCTTTTGAAATGTGTTTTCTACAGTAAAATTTATTGTCTCTGCTCTATGAAGGTTTTATTACTATTGCTTCTTAGTATGAAAATATTACATATTTATGTGAATGTTGGTCAAATTAGCAAATCTGAAGCTTAAATTTTGCGGGGCGGGGATGTGTCTTTGTTTCTTTTGACAGGAAATTGCCCGCAGCTCTATTGAAATGACAGGGCCTTTGGAGGACCAGATGAATCAGCTGAAGCAATATGAGCATAATATCATTAACTATAAACACAACATTGACAAACTGGAAGGAGATCATCAGCTTATACAAGAAGCCCTGGTGTTTGACAACAAGCACACCAACTATACTATGGAGGTAGCCATTTACTCCCTTTTGTACTTGTTAGTTTATTCTGCCCTCTTCTGCCATATAACTACCTTCCCTCATTTGAAGAGACTGCAACAGAGGATAGAATTTGGCAGACTTTCTGATAATCTCATAAGACTTGTTTTATTTTCACTTATTTTTACTTTCAGTGAAGAAGTACCCATTTAGAAACCAGTTCCATATTTTCTGAAGGCCATTTTTATTTGTAATGATCCTTGGTCATAATATAGAGTTAGTGGTATGGAAAAGGTATCACATAAATATTTAGAGCTGATTTTTTGCTTACTCTACTTTTTATACTCTTAGAAGAACATATTTGATTCTTTAATAAATCAGTATTTTCTCTCTCATAGCACATCCGTGTTGGATGGGAGCTCCTACTTACCACCATTGCTCGAACTATCAATGAGGTTGAGACTCAGATCCTTACAAGAGATGCCAAAGGTATCACCCAGGAACAAATGAATGACTTCAGAGCATCATTCAATCATTTTGACAGGGTACAGTACTCCTGCTTTTTCTCAACTAGCAACATTTATTGTTCCCAAAAGCAAGTTTCTTTCCATTCCAAATGTAAGCCTTTTAAAAAGCTGCAAACGCAGTAGCAATGGGCTCTTTTTAAAACAGAAAAAAAGATCAGTTAACAAAGAATTCATAGCCTTATGAAATCATAGCATTGTACAGATATGTTAAAGATTAATTTGTACTCTTTAAATATAATGCAAAATTATAGTTCTGCTAACATGGTTGAGTATTTGTTCAAATAACAGGTAGAACTGGATAAATCTGTGTTTTGGAAAATAACGTGCCCCTTTATTTTAAGGCAGTGTAGCATGTTCTATGTACTTGCTGGCGGCTTCCATCTCATTAAATTTAGCTGTAATCTGGATTACAGTTTTTTTTTTTCCTTTGAATTGCAACTTGTTCCCCTAGAAATAGATTTGCGGGAAATATAGTTGGGGCACTCATAGCTGTCAAGGAAAATCCTTTCTTTTTCTGGCTGTATGTGGGAAATAAGAGGCTGGTTTTTTCACTTATCTGGTCATGGATGAATAAAAAAGTAGGAATGAAAACACGTCTCTCGCATGAACCCACCTTCAAAACCAAGTTCATATTTCAAATACTGAAAAAAGATTACCATAATGCAGCACCAGGCTGTTGTCTTTTTCCCAGTACAGATTCCTGTAGTTAGCAGACTGTGTTTAACCCCCGACTTACGTTCTGTTATCACGAGTCAGCTCCTTCAAATCATTTCAGGTTATAGCAAAATGCCACTTTCTTTTCACTGACATCCTGTTTGTCCAGCTCTACCCAAAATGGTTACCCATATCTGGACTTATACTTGATGTGTATTGGATGCTGGCAGTCATAGTTTGCTAAATATTCTTTAGAATATCCTTAATTGTTTAGAAAGAAAAGCAGAATTGCCAAACCTCTGCTTTTTGAAGAAACACACAAGCATAGGAAAGGTTAGCTACACAGGAACCAGGAACAGATTTTATGGAAAATCTTAACGTGATTCTAGTGCAGCATAATTCCGATTTTATGGAAAATCTTAACGTGATTCTATTTATTCTATTCTAAAATCTTAACGTGATTTTTGTATTTTTTAAGGAAGCAGAAGATAACATCACAGAAGCAGAGATAAATTTCCTGGGGGTGGAAGGAAGTAGCATACTAAACGGCTTTTCCAATGCACTGGAGCAGATAACTGAGCAATTAGAGCTGTTAATACAAGACAGAGTACCAGGCCTGGATAAATTATACACCAGTATTTGAGAGACTCTATTAAGGGAAACCAGGGAGTTTTCACAAAGATTTGACAGCTCTCTAAAGATAAGGAAGCAAGGTGACTGAATCCTAATATATCTTACACTAGATGGCCATTTCTAGCATCCCTGTATCTTTGTAGTTCATAGATGAGTTCTCTGCCGTGCTCGCAGCAAGGCTGGTTCAGTGGCTGAGGAGATATTACGGGCATCTCTTGGTGCCTCAGAAGGTCTTGAATGGAGAAGCTAACTCGTACACCAACCAGCCCTATTGTTATGGATCTTCAGGCTTTGCAGATACATTAAGACTTTGAGATACCAAAGGATACAATGGAGCAAGGCCTTAGGAAAAGCTGTTTGGCCTGGAAGAGGGCGCTCATGTCACATAACTGCAGGCAGGCTGGAGATGGGCTATGACAATAATGTGCAACACAGAAGTGCTTCCCCACTCCTAGATCCTATCCCTGGCTGTCTCCTTTCTTCAGGCTACAATGAGTCATGGCTTCAGACAGTGTCCCTTCTGCCCTTGCTTCTCTTGCAGGAAGCCTGAGTGGCCATGTCAGAAGCGGAAGGAGATAGATGCTTCATCAGTTTCTATGGCCTCAACAACCTGGTCCTGGACTGCAAGTTTAGCTGTGGACCTTACCTTCCCCCATGACAGAAATAATCCAAAGGCCTTAAAAAAGAGGTCTGGAAGGATCATGTTAAGGGAAAGACCATTTTGCATATGCCCCCTTTAGCATACCCCTTCCCTTAGCATCGGACATGGGAAATTGGCCTAGAAGTACTTTTGCACTGACACGGTGGCAATTATGTTCTTAGTAGTATAATGCAAGCTAAAGAAAGGAAGACGGTAAGATCTAAAACCACTCAGCCATCAAGCCAGGCTTTCTGCAGGGGACAGATAGTAGAAACACTGATAAAAGAGAAACTGATACTGATTAAATTACACTGTAATTTAATGGGCAGATGAGACTCAATCTACACAGGCTAGAAGAAGACATTGAACAAACATGTTTGAGAGGCAGGTTTGTTTTTCATTTTTATATCCTTCCTATGTCCTCGCACACTCAAATACTTAGTGTTGGTGAAAAACGGAAACCCAGGTGCTTCAGAGTTGCTTCAGGGTACACAAAGATTCTAAACGTGGAGTTTAGATAGAGAGGGCAGTAAAGGATTTTTTTATGGTCTTGATTACCTTAAATAGAAATGAAGATGAAACTGCATCATCTGAACATAAGCACTAACATGAAAAATACTGGGTTCTCCATGTCAGATGGAATTAGCAGTGTATGTAAAAATTTTGTTGCGCTTAGCAACATTTCTGAATGCCTGACATAGTTTAAAAAATACACTGAAAAAATTGGATTGCAATTCACAGTGATGAATAGCCAGAAAAGATCCCAAAAATTAATACTGTCCCTGACGAGTAGGCTTTAAATACCTAAGCACAACATAATCATTTATGCATGCAATAGCTCTGACTTCTGTGGCGTTTCTCCAATTTAAGACATATCTTAATGTTTGACTCTTAGTGTGTGTTGAGGATGTCAGCAAAGTACTAATATGCAGAATAGCTCCCTTCTCCATTTTAAAGGATGTATTTTGGTACACCTAAACCTAAAAACTTTTTATAGAGTGCTTCTAGAAACAACTTCCTTTGGTTATAAATCTGAGGAAGGAACCTCTATCTTCCTCCCCAGTAAGAATATATGGAAAAGTAAAAATCTTACAGTTTATAATCCATTATGGGGCTTAACTCTGCAGTGGTTAATCCTTTGAAAGTGAGTTAAATAATTGGGTGAATTGTTTTAAATGGCTTCTTCATCTTGAATATTTGAAAGAAAACTATGCGGTATTTTACAAGGTTTTTTTGGGGGGCCACATGCCCCTGATTCTCAAACTGCACTGAGTAAGTGGGCACCATGCATATAAGAATTACAAGGGCAGGAAGAGTTGTGTTTCTTTCAGTGCATCCACCAGCAGAGATGTGCTAGCACAGAAAGCGTTACAAGTCATCCTTGTTAAAGGCAAGTGGTAAATATGCTATCTCCCTTGGGGCAAGGAGGCAGCTCTTCTGTTTCCAACAGACACGTACACATGCTGGTACCCCAGAGGTTATTCCTGAGGATGCTTCTTGCTTACCCACTACTCCTTGCTGGAGGCTGTGCCTGAAGGCATATTCTAGTTGTAGGTATAAATATAAATCTTCAGCAACGCTGGTATATTTCCTTCCTTAATGTGACTGCATAGAGAGGAAAAAAAAAAAGAGAAAGTGGGACACAGTGTCTGAATCACAGAAGCAGTTTAGAAGCATTCAAAATGGTGCCTAGCTGGATCACGGTATGCAGACAAATTGGGACACCCACACAGATGTGTTGTCAGTCACTGGTTTTGAAGTCTTTTTATGCAGGCATTACTGTTTCTGGTTCAGTATATTTAGTAAATTCTAAATAAGATTGTGAAGTATGTGATAAAATATCTGGAGCTGCTCTGCATGTAATATCCTAACAGCTGTTAACATATTCTACTATCGATTCTTGTGCAAACTACAGATTTTAAGTAGGAGCTCTGCATACAGAACAACAGCATCATGCCACCCTATATTTTACTAACAGAAAAACAACAGCTCCCTATTAAAGGAACCACATGATCAGGCTTATGCAGGTCAATTAGCATTCAGGAAATGGGAAAGACATATTTAAGAATGTATTACTATGACTCAGAAACTCATTTGTTTTATAAGGCCACATATAAAAGACAAAGGGGAAGGAAGAGATTTCTGGAGACTAATAATGAAACATGGAGGGGGATTTCGGTGTTTTACTTTGTATTGGCAGGAAAAGATGAACAAGGCAAAGTTATTTATATGCTGTAAAAAACTAATTTCAGCGCTTAATGTTGGTCTGCAAACAATACAAATAAACACAAAGAACCATTTCCCAATGAGCAAGCCCTTGCATGGGCTTGATCTATCCATTAATTGCAAAATACCATTGTATCCCATGAAACTCTGATATACTGCAAAGGCAAAGATGCCTTTTTAGGCCATATATGATGCAGATTAAAAAAATTCACTACCAGAATGTGAGAACCTGCTATAGCACATGGCACAACTACTTGGACCCTCACTGGGGAGTCCCACTTAACCAGATGCTGGTTGTGAGTTCTAGCACAACCATTGTGCTCCTCTCCTAAAGAAAATGGTTTCTTGGTAGATGTGCTGGCCTCTCTCACTCCCGTCTGCCCTTTGCTATCTGTTGCGTGACTACCACTGCCGTGTGTGGCTGGTTAGGAGCTCAGGCACATACTGACCACACACCCTCCTGGTGTAGTCAAATAGCTAATAGTCCTCTGCCAACACCTGGTAGAGGAGGAGGAACAACAGGATTTGGCTTTTAGCTCCCATTTTTGTATCATTTTGTTCGCAGTCAAACAGTAATACCTTTGGCTTTAGAAATAAGGTAAAATGAGCTGACTTTACTCCTGGTGTGACCTGCCGTAGCCTGTCTCCAGGATGGTTTTGGAGAGTTTCACGCCAGCCTAGATTAACATTTTCAGAATGATAAAATAAACCATTTTGAATGCTTTATAGCAGAAATTATCCTATAAAATAGAAATGTTAAAGGAAATAAAAACTTCACTGTGATTATGGCTTTTAACTAAATGCTGCTCCAGATTTGCAGCTTTGCTTTGTCTCTTGTCATTGACTTCCCACTGTTATTTTTCATCTTCCCTTTATGGAGCTGGTGGAGGTTGATGCAGAGGGAGTCAATATAATAACAGTATGATATGTCAAAAATGCATGGTCTTATGAACTTAATAAGGCACCACTTCATCCTATTAGTATATTATATAAACTTAGTGCATTTCTTAAAACTCCTATAATTTTAGTTACGCAGAGCTATATAGAAATTTTCAAAAATAAATTATTCATCCAGCAGGCAAATATGTAGCAGACAGAAAACCTTGGATCTTCTCCAAACTGTCAGTCTGGAAAATCGATAAGGGTAGTAATTTTTCTTCTTAGAACATCTCTTTAATTGCCTACATGTTAACTCAATCTGAAGTACACCTCTGATGAACAGGAAGAAAAAGATAAGCCAATCTGTTTTTAAGAAGTGAATTTCTCGACCTGCAAAATGGAAGAAAATATTGGTTCAAAACAATGATCCAGTCTGATGTGGTGTTACTGGGAGCCATTTAACCTGGAATTCAATGGGGCTTTTTTAAAGTCAGTTTTCAAAGCAAAGCCTTACTGTATAGATTATTAAAGAAGACAGATAACTGAAAATAAGTTATGTCAGTTATAAATTTATTTTGGATCTAGACAAGAAATCAATTGGTTTGTACTTCTACTCTCTTTTGAGATATGGATATTCAGTTGTTAAGTAATATCAAGAGTGAAGTAACAGTAATTCAGTGGGGAAAAATGTTTTGCCCAGGTTCAGTGATCTTTTTACTGCATCTCACATACAATGTATGACAATAGAAAATGAAGGAAGCAAATGGCAGTTCAATAGAATAAAAACTGCCTTATCAGCAAAAATGTTAAAAAAGCACCTGTAGAGGAAGCACGGTTTTAACTCTGTGGTTGAAGGACCGTCTTCCACTAAGAAAAAACCTAAAGCATGAAACTGCAGAAGTTGTACACTTTTTAGGTAATTCATTGCATTATGTTGACAATATGTTTCCATGAAGTTCTGTAAAAACATCATTATTAATACAGGAGTAGAATGTTCTTTACTAATCAACTAACCTGATCTGTGATTTTTCTTTCTTTCCTTTCACCTTCCCAAATGCATGACCTGTGATGGGATTTAGGATGAATCTGACAATCTACATTCTGATGAATTTAAAGCCTGCCTCATCAGTCTAGGACAGGTTGGAAATGACCTGCAGGTAGAGGAAACTGATATTGTTCTATTTTCAGATAGACCAATATAATAATATGCAAAGAGATTGTGGGTTTAAACTCCAATGTATTGGTCATATGCTTTGAAAAGATAACTGGATTAGATGGACTATCAGCATCACTTGGAGCCATATTTTTCTATGCATATTTCAAAAATTTGTCAGGTTGTTGCTTCTACGTGGTTTGAGATGTTTTATTTGGACTCTACTAGATAACTGTGGGGAGCTCCTAAGCTTCTTGCACTCAGACTTTAGCTAATTTTCCTTTCCTCAGACTCAACACAATCTCTACTGCTCTCTCCTGATTTAGGATGACAAAATTCTCTCCAAACTGCTACATTGTATCACAACACAGAGGAAATGTTTATTTACCTTCTTACTATCATGCCATTTAATGTTTACTCAGCCCTGAGCCAGGAACACCACAGATAGGTTATTGCCTGGAAAATGAGCAACCTCCTTTTATACAAGGTCTTCAGCTGACCTCCTTCTAAGTCTTGCAAGTCTCATCCTTTAAGCCAGTATGCGCATCTCTCTGCTGTAGTCCAGGTCTTGATAGCCTGCAGTCAGAAGGAAAATCCCTGTACTTATTTCCCATATGTCAGCAGACAGCTCTCATAGTGTACCTACCTTAGCCTTGGAGTGGAGTATTTGAAATAGTCAGTGATACACTATTTTCAGACTGTTTTTAACTGTACTTTTAGTTACTACAGCATCCCATGCAGAACCTTTCAAAGACATTTGATGTCAGGGAGGCAGTTTGAACATCTCCTGAGTTTGACTAGTTTTGTAACAAACTTTTCTCCTTCCCCTTCTCTTTGTCTTCTCTGGTTGTGTTCTCTGTATTCTTGTCTCATTCACCTCCTCTTCTCCCTTATCTCTCCCCTGACCTTTCCTTATGTCACTTCTTGTGGTGAAAATGTCCATTTCCTGTGTGTAATATGTTAGTTACTTCTTCCTCCTTTAAAACTGATGATGATTCTGGTGACCTGCTTGGGCAATATCAATGAATACTGTTCATACACTGGATCCAATATGCCAATGGTCTAAACTCGTCATCTCTCTGGAAATTACCTTGGATTCTTCAAACCTTCCCTTCTATATTCCTTATGTTGTTTTGGTCAATAGAGGAAGAATGGATTGATGGACCATGATGATTTCAGAGCTTGCTTAATTTCAATGGGTTATGATTTGGTATGAATTTTAAGAAACAACGGCAACTGATTCTGCTTACAGTTTATAACATTAACCACAGCAACACTAAAGCTTATTTAAATTGACAGAATACTAATAATATAATTTACACTAGAGATACTAGTTTCTTGTTTCTTTGCTTTTTCTCTATTTTCAAATGGTTAAAAAGGAAGTTAAAAGTAAAACTAGACACTTGAAAACCATATTCTATGGTCTGCTGCATTGCTTTTTGAATTAAGGAAGCTTTAAAAGTTGAAATTAACAGTTATTAAATGAATTTGTTTTTCTTTCTCCCTTTTTATCTGCATGAGGAAGAATGAGTTTGATGCTGTTTAATTCTCGTAAACTAGCTTTGGGGGTTGCATTTGCTTTCCTTTATTCTAAAATTTTCCCCCCAGATTCACCCTTTTTAGCCTTAGTTGAACTGTCCTATATTTGGTATGAAATTGTCAGAATTGTTTCCCTTACTTCTTAGTTTAGTGGGTCTGCAAGTACACTGCTTCTTGGGCTATTGTTTCACCTCCCTGAATTACAGTGGTTTTAGGATGGGGTGGAAAATGAAGTGTTACGTTAAAACAAGTTAAACAGGCACTGAGGGAGGGTCGGAGGGGAAAGAAGTTGCAGAAAGTTAATGGAAAGGTACATACTATGTATTTAGGACAAAGAATACATTTTTCAAAAGTGCCGAGTCCGTTTTACAAAAGAGGGATGGGCATTTAAGATCCCAGATTTCACTGACTCTGACATTTATGTTCCTAAGTCAGGAAGATGCTTTAAAGACTCTGTAACCACTGGTCCCTGCTGGCTCATGAGAGCCACGGGCTGTTGGCGATTGATATTACGGTGACCATTTTTTTTTTTTTTCTTTTGGATTCTATGAAAGGGTGAAGCTGAGTTTGCCCGAATCATGTCTCTGGTTGACCCCAATGGGCAAGGAACTGTCACTTTCCAGTCCTTCATTGACTTCATGACCAGAGAAACGGCAGACACAGACACGGCTGAGCAAGTGATAGCTTCCTTCAGAATCCTGGCTTCAGATAAGGTCAGTCATCATGTTGCTGGCTCTAAGGATTCAATAGCTCTCCTATTTAGCCCTTCTTTGCTGAAAGTCTTACACAAGCCTTTTAGTAATAGTGAAGCTTTGTTTTCAGTTTGTAAGACTTCAGAGAAAGCGCTTGCCCTTTCTTCTGGTTTGGAACCAAGACTTAGCTGAAATGGGTGCAGAATTCAAGGCTTGGTCTGTATACCCTTATATTACAAAGAGCCAACATAAAATTAGACATCTTAGACAAGACTTAGACAGTTTGTCTTTATAATGGGTATATTGTACATCAGGTTATTTCCACACAACAGCCTTGATTAGAGGGGAACTCATTCTGCCTTTCATGCTGTTGTCTGGATGTTTCAATGCAGAATTTGGCCCTCTTGCCAAACTTGCTTGGGTCAGTTGCACAAGACTATACCTAATTGTGAGCCATGTTGTGACCTGACAGCTCATTCAACAGGGCGATGCAATGCGGTGTACCCCTATCCTAGGAAGAGTTGGAGGAGGAGGCCTCCTCTAGTTACTGGGTACGTGGAGGAAGCTCCTGAATTTGGCATACTTTCCTCCCCACAGCCAGATACACTGGCAAGTGAGTGGTGTATGAAGATGAAAGGGAGGATAATGGCAACACAAGAGCTTCTGGAGGAGTCAGGGGCATAAACAGTGCTGCCAGGAAACCAGTCCTACGCTATGGAGAAAGAGAGATCACAGCAGTACAGGTCTATTTGCCCAAGCTTGCTCTATTGATTTTCTCATTCTGGCTGTTTGTATTGATTTTGTGATCTCAGTTACTGTGGACCACATTTTGAATTCCAGACATGTTCTCAGTAGGAATTCATGTGGAAGATGAAAGCCAAGGTCTCAGGAAAAAAATGGTTTTCATTACGTTGCTATTTTAAATAATGTCAAGTCTGTTAGCAGAGGGTATCCTTCATATCATAAATGCAAAGCATTAAGAGCAATAATGCATCTTTCATTACAAATATGTTAGGACCTTGAAACTAACAGGATCTGACTGAAAACATGTCTGTCCTGTCACTGCAGAAGGGGCAGTGGGGCACTTTAGAGATACTGACTACCTATCCATAGATGAGCTGTATCAGTAGCAGTCTACCCATGGCTGCACAGTGCTCGGCAGCTAACATACACAGTCACATATCCTGAGATCGGATTTTGACCTAATCAGTTTGTTGATTCAACTCATCATTAGGGACGGAATTCACTGAGGAAAAGATTTGGTCTCAGGAAAATAGGCAGGTTATTAGTCACAGCTACAGAAAATAATCATATTTTGTGTCTTTGAAGAATACATACTGAATTTGTCAATCCTTTCCCCCCTCCCAGCCTTATATCCTGGCAGATGAGTTACGTCGAGAGCTGCCTCCTGAGCAGGCTCAGTACTGCATCAAGAGAATGCCTCCGTACACCGGCCCAGGTTCTGTTCCTGGGGCTCTGGATTACACCTCTTTTTCGTCAGCACTGTACGGAGAGAGCGACCTCTGATTCTGTAATTGGCCGTATTCATGGTAGACACTAAAAATACCCACCTTATTGCCCAGATTGCTTCTCAAAAGCTTTGACAAGCTGATTTTAAAATGAGTTTTACAAATACAGTAGGTACAGTCAGTGTAAAGTGCTAGTAACTAAAGTAACTAGTGTATATTAAAGTGTGTGGCACGCTAGATTTCTGCATTGTTGGTTTTAGGTTGTCTGTCCTATACAATGCTAGAAAATATATAAAAAAACCTGAAAGATATTAACTTTCTCCATTCAGAAAATAGAATGTAAAACCTAAGAACATTGAAACTCACAAAATATTTCTCCATTTTCAAAATGTTTCAATGCCATATGTGCTTCTTTTACGATGTTCATAAAACTATATTAGAAGTCATGCTTTTTTCTTTCATAGAGCAATATTATTCTCCTCTAATGATTTCTGATTTTGTATGCTTCTACTGGTGGAATTTAATAAAATATTAAAATGCAGTTTTTCAGGGAAGAAATATATCAACCAAGTAAACTACTTAACTACAAAAATAATCCAGAATGCTGTTTTTGTCTCTTAAAGACAGTTTTCTCTTATCACAAAGAGTTGTAATATAGGGGGGGGAAGCTGAAATGCTGATTAAATTGCAGGTTTAGAGTTCTGTAAGCAGTACTTTTCTTTTAAGCCTTTAACTTTTACAGCTGAGGGAGTACAGCTTTTATAATCAGAAATAATAAGGAAGCTAATTTCATGTGAGCTGTTTTGTTTTGAAACCCTCATTCTTGTCTGTGTTGGACAGTCTTTGTTTCTCAGTATAAGAAAGCCAGTCGCTTGTTGTATTAGTGGGCAACATTCATCTCTATCCTGCATAATGCAAAACCCTATCTGAGCAAATGTAGTGTGGTTGTCTTGCAGCTTTAACTGTTCAGTGCTCAAATGAGAGTTTGTCTTGACTTCTACTGGATCACAGGCAGTTCTGTCTGTATTATGCTCCTATGTGCTAGTTGTTGTACTGTTTTTTTCCATCTTGAGAAATGATAGAGAAATAAAAGCAGTAACTTTTTTACTTGAATCCTACCGACACTGAGGAGATGCAATGTAATCAAACAAAACCATTTACAAATGGTGAAGTGAGCTGTGCAGCCCAGTGCTATTAAAGCAATGACGTGCCTATTAAATAAAGTCTGCTTTTCAAAACCTTATGAGACTGCTGTCATTGGCAATCATCTAGTGGTTCTCTCTAAGAACTGGAAATATTTCTGAACATTAAAGGAGGTTTCAATCTGCTAAAAGTAAAAGTTCAAAAAGTATGTCATGCATGTCTATACACTGTATTTGCATGAACAACGGTTGCTACGTGCTGGGGGGACAGGTATGGCCTCATGAAGTGAGGTAGAGCTCAGAATGAGAGGGACAGAGTTTCCATTTAAGTCACCTGAGCACAGATGTCCATAGCTTGTTAGACTCCTCGCTTAAATTGATTTCAATGAGACTTAGGCACTAATGCTTTTGAAGATGTTGGCCTTAACTTTTCTGTATCTCTTTTTCCTCATGTGCAGATGTTAAGTATGTAATGATGCTTTCACTGGCCTTTGCTTTGAAATCTATGAATGATTCAAATTCAATCCCAAAGCAGGCACCCTGCAGGTAAGGTGCATGTGGTGGGAGCAATTTCAAAACGATCCCAGAGGAGATAGGCAATGACCGAATAGCTCTTCCTCCTCCACCTTGTGTACAAAGGCCGGCAGAGGACTTAGAGAAATACTAGGGCTAGAATCGCATCTCCTACAGTGCATGTGCCGCCTTGCACACAGCCAGTAGCTGCTACTGCCACTGCTGATACAGACGTGGTGCAGTGCCATCTCTTTTTGTGATGACAGTGCCCGTACAAACTAAGTCGGGAAGCTCTGCCTTACAGCAATGGCATTTCCAGCTAAATGACTGCTGGCCAGGCTGAATCCTATTAAAAAATAAATCTGTATATCTCTCATTGTCACAGTTTAATGCAGCTGGAAGAATAAAACATTGAGCTTCCAAACATGGCACAAAAAAAAATCTCAGAGCCACAGGCAGGATTATGCTAAAAATTGGCACAGAGACAGTTTATATCTGACACTTTCTATTGGGTGTCATTCATGTTCTCTACCTGCTAATTTTTATATTGTGTTATTCTTCCTATTTTTAATGTATGGAAGAGACTTCTAAACTCCTCCTTTAGCCAAGTGTTTTGTTGATCAAAGCATGTGAGAGATAACGTTATCAGCAGCAAGAGAAAAAGCCTTTTGCCAAGCAATTTTTTCGTTCCCATATCAGGTTTCTAATTTCTAAAGCAGAGTGAACAGAATCAGTGGCAGAGAGCTGCAGGGATTAATTACCCATCCATACTTGCCTAAAAATGTTATACTGTATTTATGTCTTTCAATATGTCTTACGTAAAAAACCAGATGTATCATAAAGTTATTTCTCCCAGCACTTAAAGAAGCAAGCTGTGTTATTTTACTCTGAAGTAGGTAAAATTCAAGGTTTTTAAAACATTCTGTGGTCAAGTTCAAGGGCAATGGGTTTAACAGAGAGATTTTCTTTTCCTCTAAGGCTCCATTTTTAGTAGGTGGCATTTGTATTTTTCTGTAGAATCACTCTGTTCACACTGGGAATCGGTGGCTTCAGTGGCATTTTCTATCTCAGCAATTCTGGCAGCAAACTAGTTTTACCATTAAAAAAGCACAGTAACTGAGCCCAAGGTAATGAATGTACCAATCACAGGGGCCAAATCAAGGTTCAACAGGTGAAGGCACAGCATTATTTTGATGATCATGTGAATGAAGGTTATAGAATAAATTAAAATTCAAAAAAGTCAGTAAGGTTTTAAGTAACGCAGGTGTCTTCTGTGACTGTACATGGATACAACAATTCTTTGAAAAACCTCCTGCCAAGATAATCTTAATTTTGTAGTAATTATTTTCAGTCACTGATCTTCAGAAAGGTGCTGATGCAGGTAGTAAACGGTGTTGTCAGCTCTGTGCCACCTTCATATCTCCTTTCTTGATACATAGAGTTTCCAGCCCTTTTCTTACCTACTGGCCACAAAAGGCTTGGATCAGAGTTGCACCTAGCAGCTTGTATTTTCATCAGAACATCCTGTTGTTCAGTTTGCCCTCTTATTAGAGGAGACCATGTTCTTTTATTCAGGTAGTTCCTGGTGTCTGTAGAGGTTATCCCAGACACAAGTGGTTTCAATGAAGGAGGAGAATAGTTCCTGTTAGCAGCTGGATTTGGAGGGTTAGCAGTTTCCTTTTTTGATTTAAATGGCTTGTGGTTGAGAGTAATTCTGTAAGGAAGTAATTGTTTGATCGTTGCTAGTGTATGAACAGGCCCTTAGGAGCATGCCTCCAGCATTGGCAATGGTGTCAGTATTTTTTGGTGTGCTTTTACAAACAGTTCCAGTAATATTTAGATGAGAAGATAATACTTAGATAAGAGGTGACACTTCTTTGAGGAAAGTTCATCACTTAATTTTGCCAAATCCAAGTCCTTGGTCCTCATCTTCTTCAGTGGGACTGTGCCTCTTGGTGTTCTGGACTTTTAAGAGAGGATCAAGCCTGAGGTCATTCTTCAACAGAAATAGGAACAAAGTCAGTGAAAGTCTGAGATAAACAAAGAAAGCAAGGAATAATCTGATGAAAATTACTTATAAAGAAGGATCAGCTCAGTCAAACAAGAAAGCATGCGCATCATTTCCGTATCTTATGCACAAAGTAAAAATTATTAGATCTGGCTCTCCGCTTGTGTTACACTAGAAAATGACATGAAAGCAGCTTTCAGCACAGTGAAAGTTTAGCACAATATACCCATGCTTTGGATTCCTGACTAGCTTATTTCTTACCAGGGAAAACTGCTCAGTGGTCTTTGAATTATTGTATTATGTCAGGATTTACATCTGAAAAATCTTCCCTACTTCTGGAGACAGAGCACTAGAGGAGGTGGTGCTGTTGTGGCGGGAACATTTGACTGCATTACACAAAAAGCACCCCAAACGCTCTTTTCAGAATCAGAGAAACATCCCAACATCCACTGAGATGCCAAAAATGCTCAGATATCAAATATGCAATACCTGCTATAATATACAGTGTGACAATTGCTAGTGTTGCTTCAACCTCACTGGTCACTAAGGTTTTTCTCTCTTGGTAAATATTAACAAGGTTTCTGAATAACTGAAATACCTGTTCATTCCCCATGTCCCTCTTTCCCAAGTTTTATGGTTAACAACCTGTGCGCTTATTTGCTTGTGCATCAGTCTACCTTCTGGTTGTGTTTAGAGGGTGTTTTATCTAAGGAGCTGCTTCACCAGGGTAAAGCCTGCGCTACAGACAGCTCTTAATATGTTCTGCTGGGATTCTACTTGTTTCAGACCAAACATTTTTATATAGGAAAACTGACTGTTCTAAACTGGATTTTATTTTGTATTAGTTTCTTCTTGAAATCTGTGATTCCTTTCTAATTTTAAGCCAAGGTGTGGGCTGCCACCACAAAGGACAAGTCTATCTCTACTTTTTCCATAATCCCGTTTATTTATAAATAGAACAGTTCCCTGGTCTGGTTACCATGCTGGCTGGAAATACATATCCAGGGTACTAAGAATGGTAGATTATCCCCTCCAACAGCAGCCTGTATTTCCATTACCTTAAAGGGATTGCATAGCTGTGGAATTAGGGACCCAACCACGCGCTTTCACTAGAAGTCCTTTATTATTCACAACAAAAGAACATTTCTGTGTAGACAACAAACCTCAAGCTAGTACTAGGAATACCACTTATTTCCCTCATAAAGGAAGAGCGCTACACTAAATGACAAGCCCAGTCTTTTCCGTGTGTGAGCTTGACTAGGATTTCATATTCTAAGCTTCAAAAGAAATTCCTCTGCCCATTTGCTAGGTTTCATTAGCATTGCATAAATACTGCATTGCACAAATTTGATTATCAGCATATTGCTTTAATTACTTGGAAAACAAATATATTGGATCAATGTCCTGAGGGGATAAATGTCCTGAGGCTATTATAACACCCACTCATCCCTGATCTACTTGCTCCTTGCTGTTCTGTTTCAAAACCTGGCTGGTTTATTTGGCCCCAATTCATGAAAACTTTCTTCCCTTCAAGATACCTGTTAATGCTTTAAGTGAAAAATGCCCTCGAGCGCGGTCCTCAGGAGGAGTGGTTATGACATGTGCTCTCCTGAGCTGGAGCCTTCCAGCT